GTCTTCCGACCACGAGAGACTTCTCTCATTCTTAACAACATGTCCGTCGCGGAACCATATTGCAGGTCGATATTATTGAGGAGTTGGTCTAACCGTTGTCGGTCGGTTAGATCTCCACGTCTCAGAATCGCTCGTTTTAACGTTTCTTAAGGTTCCAAAACATCACTAGTAAACATACTAGGTGTTAGGTAGCTGTTGAATTCGCGCGGTAACGCCTTAACTACCGCGAGGAATCGTATATCACAATATATAAAAATCAAATAAAGAATAACAATGAATAATGATATTCCAAGAAGAAACTTACTCACAGTTTATGCGCTTGGTGTACCAGATCTCGTCAGGTTCACCACTGAAGATACGACTAGTATTCTAGTTTGACAACTAGCAACCAGCAACACCTTCTATATTCGAAGCTTTCCCCAACCAAATGAAATCAGAAGTCAGATGCGAAGAGATCGGAAAGATGTATTTGATACGTTTGTTCTAATCTGGCTAGTGAACGTGGGAGCTGTGTCCCACGCTGGTTTGTAACGTGATCTGGTACGGATGCATGACCGAAAGCCTTCAGTTAAACCAGTCCACTTAAACAACGTGGTCAGCATCCAATGTCGTACACTTAGAAAGTTATTGATTTTGGGGAATTATTTACAGCTACAGTACCAATATGTAACAAAGAGACTTGGTTCAACCAAAATTATGAGATACGGAGTAAACACAGTGTTCACAACAGCAAGACCAATCACATGAAAAAGACGCTTCTAGAATATATTAGAAGAGGTAGATCTTTTGCAAAGTGTCACGGCCGTTCAACAGACTCAAGAAGTAATAATCAATCATGGTAAACCGGTTCGCCAACAACCAAAGTTTATGACAGAGTAAAATAAACAAACAATCAGTAAAAGCCAAACATGTCACATGTGTTCGAAGTTTGAAGACGTCTTTTACGTAACACCTTTGTAATCGGGATATATTAACTCAGTCAAATCAGACGTCGGAAATATAAGGGTTCGAAGATACATTTCAAAAGCCATCGATATGTCGACAAGCGTTTGATCAAAGCTGGCTAGCACTTGCAAGAGATGAGTAGTACGGCGTGCCTACTCGTGATCCGGTGCAGATGCGTTACCTTCATCTAGAATGTATCCATTAAAACCTCTAAGAAAAGCTATTCAGTTGAAGTGATGAATTGAGAAGACCAAAATTTTAAGAAAGAATGGAAAATAACTGGCTCAACTTGAACTGAACATGAACATGAGCACACGCAAACACACACTTAGTAAAAGAATTTTATACTACTATTATCCTAAAGAGCAGTAGAGAAATTGTAAAACAAAAAGGTACGAATATGTTCCCATAGAAGTTGCAAATTTAGCGCCGAAGTTGAACAAACAGCCCTGAAAGTTTAAGTTGTTTTAATGGAAACACAGGCTCGACCAACTCCAAGCACTTTAAATACGGAACGGCGTCCCTGAACCAAACCACTCAGCGGCGTAGAAAGAAAATAAAGGCAAATTTAGCCCTGACCTATGTAGCCTCCAGTTTCGCCTTCAAGATCGCATCAATCTGAGACTTATGTTACCATTGATTGTTGTCTGTTGCTTTTATCGTCAAATGTAAATGGATTGTATGTCCTTGATAGGTCAACTGCACAATTTTTTCAAGCTCCCCTTACCCCATTCTAGATGCTCCCCCAGTACATAAAGTGCTTTCTGGCTAGATGCGCACCACCACACTCGGCATTGGATACCTTTCTGACATGCTCACGACAACCGGTAAGTGATCACCAATGCCTCCGCAGAAAGGTAATGAGTTATTCAAATATAATTGTTAGTATTATTGTTGTATACGAAAATTAAATTGTGGATAACTTCTAAAAAATATTTATGGACTATTATTAAACATAAATTCTTATTGTATAACTATTAAGTAACCAGATTATATGTATATTCATGTTCTTTTTATTATAAGATTTCAGTTTACTTATTGACTAGTACTATACGATTTACTATTCATAAGTTATCCCCAACCTATTATTTACAGTATCACACACTCACAGCCATTTTTGGCTTGATCTTTTATAACTGTCATTTCCTATTTTATGGTATAATGAGATCTGATTTGCTTGTTTATAAACTGCATATGCCTGAAATACATGATTCATACAGTAGAAGCTGAGATTGTGTTCTGGACTCATACAGGGCTAGGCAAGAAGAACCGATGAGGACTCAGAAATCGACTTAAAGCTGCTCGTACTGGTTAACGCGTCATTGATTTGACACAAGTCTATAAACGCACAGGTCGGTGGTTTAATTGGAAGTCTCGTCACGTGATGTTTGACGGGCCATAAGATTATAACAAATATTGTTAGCAATAAGTTTGACTATTTCACAATGTATATGGGCAGGACGTCTCCGATTCACTATTACGATGTTTACGGGAATATTTCTGTTTGACATTCATGCACTGTCGTTATTGGCGAAACACTAGTAAATAAGATAAGGATGCTAATATTCGTTGTAACAAGTTGGGACACATAGTTACGTAGATTGTGAAAATAACCCAAAAAGTTCAAACACACGTAAAACCATTTTGTATTGGCCCGGGAATAAATTTCAAAACAATTTTCTCCCGTCTCTCGGTATTAATCCAAAAATTACACATGAATATGTATACACTTGGAAAAGGTAGACAAATCATAAAATCAATCTACATGATGATGATCAGTTTTTGATATAAATGACGTGAAGCAGTCAAGTCCACACATTTTATCAAGATAAAAGGTACTTTATTGACTGATTGCGTCCCGTTCGAGTCGAAATGTGAAAATATAGGAAACTAGAAACGAAATGGGTTAATCGGGTTAGCAAACAAATAAATCTGGTTCAAACACCAAAAAATGCTGGAAGCACTAAATAATGGAGTAAAAATGACTCATGAACTCGCTAGCCATCAAATTCGAAAATGCTACCTCTAAAGACGGAATGGAAAAACATACTTTCATTGTCATCTATCATGTTCTTCCAACAAGCTGCGAAAGTGCCTTCCATGTGGTGTTTGAGTTAGCAACTCAGGTCTATGAACATTATTCTCCCCCTTGACAGACAGGTAAAATTTACTAAGAAAATCTACTAATTCTCAACTTTTCATTTTGATATGTCGTATCTTTCATACAATACTTTTACAATTAAGCTTTCCTACTTCCCACATCCTATACTTTAATATTTATGTAGCCTTGAATAGTTATCGTTTCAAGTGTTGGTCAACCTTGAATTCTGATAAATGTTCCTAGTTGTCATATATATATATATATATATATATATATATATATATATATATATCCAGTACCGTTCGCTCCAAATGCCATCGCTTTATCCACTTAGCTACTGAGTCAACATGGCTACTAGCTTGTGCAATGGAGGTGAAGTTTAATTCAGCTTTGTATTGGTTAGTTGAATTTTTCCCATTGAACACATCTATAGAAATCAATCAAATTAAGAAATAATTCTTTCAAATATTTATTAAATTTGCCTTGATTAACAAATAGTAAATTCACTATTAACTCATATTTTTTTTATATTCCAATCGACCGAGTCAATAAATGACTAAATGAACAGAATGAAATATAGACATCGATCATATTAAACCTAAAGAGAAAGATCATTTAAATTAAAATTTATTTCTTATCATCTTTAAGAGTTTAACACTGTTGTATTAGTTCTGTTAAAAAGAAAAAGAATAGATTCCATGATATACAAGGCAACAACAACAACAAAAAGGCTGATTTGTAAAATAAAAATTTACTTTCGTTTCGTTTTTTGTTTTCAAAAAATCAAAGTGGATAAAAATCACAAGAGATTTAATTTCTTTGATATTGTGGGCATAAAAAAAGGGAAATAAAAGGAAACAGTATATCGATTGTGTTTCTCTTTTACCACTGGTTATTTATTTATTCAATAAATTTGTGTAATTAGGTAAATATGTGAGTATAATTTATTCTTTAATAGGAAATAAAATTATAACTAACAATGTCAAATGATGAGAGTTAAATACTTGTAATGAAAATAAGTTTAGAATAAAATGAAGATATTCTGTATTAATGAGTATAGTAGTGGTAGTATTATTATTATTATTATTATTATTAGTATAGTGTCACAATTGAAAACAGGATTAGTGTATTTACACATAAATCTATAAAAAGCACACGATCCACGTGTGTACATTGATACATATTATATTCAAACAAAAAGAAATTACGTAAACAGTATAAACAATGAATGTTTCTTTTTAGGTGTATGTATGAATTTTTGCAAAACAGAAACAAGTTGCTAATTATCACGTACACATACAAAAATACCGTATTTTTTTCGCGGATATAATACAATCATGTCTATCTTGTTCTAAATACAAATATTTGGAAGAAATCGAACGATTCAAAAAATGAAAGGCACATAATGTTTAAATAATTGAAACAAAAAAAAGTAGAATGTTCTTTGAAAAGGAGTAATAAACTAAATTAAATATGATAAAATACATACATGCATACATATACAAACAAAAAAGATACACGAGCATACCTGATGCAAAAGCGTTTGTGTATGTACGTGTAAAACATGGTGAAAAAAAACGCCAGGAACTATGTCTATTTCAAACAATTGTAGGTGATATATGTATATATAGAGAGAGGATGGGTTAAAGACATAATAAGTTTTGAAAATAAACGGCGTCACAAATGAAATGCATGTTATTCAAAAAAGTCATACAGCACACATACATACATACATACATACATACACACAAAAATATAATCTAGATAGAAAACATATCCGTCTTCCTATTCTGATTATCATTATCATACAACAAAAATGATTTTTTTTTTTTATGATGGGGTTAATCAGATGTCTGAAAGGTAATCAACTCATTATTAATAAACTAGATATTAATTTCTTTTTTTGAAAAAGTTTGTGTCTCAGAAAGCATTCGAAGAATATGGCCTACTAATATTAATCATCACTAGAGTCGACATATCCACTTGAAGTGGTTGACTTCTGAGAGTCATTACGACCGATATTTGTTGTTATTGTAGTATTATTGTCAGTAATAATATTTGTTGTTGTTGTAATAATAGTAGAAGGATCAATAGAAGTGGTAGTTCCAGACATAAAAATAGCGGGACACGGTGCTACAACATCAATAACATCACTATCAATGAGTAAATCATCGTGTATAGACGATGTCTTATCCAACTGATTGCTTTGTTCCAATGAAGCATCATCGAAAATAGAAGCAACACCTACAAATTTAGGAGTTGAAGTGTCTGAAGTGGAAATAGTTCCAGATGATGTTAAGATATCGTTATGATTTTCTGTTATTTCTTTGACTGTTTCATCGTTATTCACGTGATCATCATCAACATCATCATCAATTTCTTCTTCATAATAATAATCTTCATCTTCATCTGTGGCAGATGGTGCACATCCGCTGTCGCGAATAACATTCACTGTTTTCTGTTCTGCATCATTAGATTTTGTGATATGATTTGAGAAATAGTTTTTGGCATTTTCCAACACATCAGATACAAGTTGTGCAGCGACCGAATTCAAATCTTAAAAAAATAAGTATATAAAAACAAAGTTCAAATCTTACAAGAAGAGACGATGGCGGCTAGCAGTGGAATCCAAAACGTCCGTGTCGTCCTATTTGGGACTCGTCAGCTGGATGTACTTGCATCCCAGAGTTGATGTTCACCACGGGACTCAAACCCAGTACCGTTCGCCCCAAACGCCATCGCTTTATCCACTTAGCTACTGAGTCAACATGGCTACTAGTTTGTGCAATGGGGTGAAATTTAATTCAGCTGTGTATCGGTTGGTTGAATCTTCCCCATTGATGCCTAGGAATACAGTTGATCAGTTTCTTATTGGCATATGTGCATCCTGTGCGGATTGCCTCGACATTGCCTTGAGTCACAAGCATTATAAGCAGAGATGGATGGTGACTATTAGTGAAATCCAGGACATGCGTGCCTTCTTATTTGGGACTGGTCAGCAAACAATACTGGGTTAAGTTCCGTGTAGAGTAAAGAGTATATATTAGTTAAGAGTTGTAAACTGAGGTGAAACATGTGTTCAGTACTTTCTAGTTTCTAACAGCTGTTGGTGACGAGAACCCTCTTTATAAAATTCATTTATAGAAAAATAAACATAAGTACCTTGATCTGAATTGTCTGCAGATAAATCAAATCCACTATGTATTGCATCCGATTGTTCAGTGGAAAGTGTGTCCAACCTTAACGTGTCAGTTGTTTGTGAACAAGACAAATCGATGATAGAATTCGCCAATGTTCTAACTTCTTCATCTTCAATTTCTTCGGTGCTCCCACTGACCGGACATTCAATATCGCCAGTTTTAGTCCAATGAATTTGAGAATCGATTTGAATAGACGGTCTTGATAAACGTTTTCTTGAACTAGTAGATTCTTTTAATAAATTATTCGGCGATAGGTCGTGATGAGTTAACTATAGAAAAAACATGAAAATTTAAGTAAACCAGAAATTAACTTGATCAGGATAAAAAACCTAACTTTAAAACGAAGTTAATACATATATGTTCCTTAATACGAAATAAGACATCGTGAGAAGAAAAGTGATAAATCAGAAACATAAAAATGACATTAATGTCTATAGCTAGCTAATGATATTCAAAAATTATCCAACAATAATTTCAGAAACAGATGCTCTCCAAGTACAAAATGCAAAACAAAAATTCGAAAAATGTAGTAACAACCAACCGATGCACTGTACTTTAGTGGAAAAATACACTGCAGTTATCTTTTTTAAGCAATTTCAACATTTCGAAGAATTTATTATGTATTTACGTTTTGCACTACCTTAATTGAAGACTTAGAGCAGTCATGATGAAGGATAATAGTACTAAAATATAAGAAGAAAACAGTAATGAGTCTCGTGCTTCCCTGAGATTGTAAGTTTCACCTACGATAAAATGATTGAGTTATTTCAAAAGATTTCTTCAAATTAAACTATATGGTATGAACTAAAAGCTATTATTCTGGCTTTGAAACGTCTGGTTTTTATTACAGTTACACTAACTACTGATGAGTAGTTTAAGATTATAAAGTAAAATATACTGAATCTTCAATGTACTATATCCAATGTGTAAGCGGCATACGCAAAATAGTCTGAATTTTATCATACACATCTGAAGCTTAACTCATAGTTATACAGAGCAGACACTGGTGCTACATCATTCCAAACATGTTAAACACGACGTTAATAAACAACATACCTTGCACAAACACATGACAGATTTTGCAAATACTGGAGCCATTGTAATCAATTCCTTATTCAATAAGTTATCAAAGAAAGTAAAATCTAAATTTGAAACAGGACCTGCTTCAGACTTCCTTGATCGGCGTTTAGATGTTCGCTTGTCTTGAATCTCGATACGACTACGTTCACTATCTGAACCGACTAGGTTTGGTGAAGATTGTATAGCTTTGGAGTCATCTGGTAGAGCATCGATAACATTAAACCGAGATCTTTCAGATTCAGTACTACCAATTACTTTATTCCTTCCTACATTTAGTACAGGATTCCGGCTAAGTGACTCTAGATAACCTTCTGTCCATGACAATGAGCTTTGCCTTTTCTTCTGCCGCATTAATATTTCGAGCTCATGATGACCTTTATCGTCTATAGATTCAAGATGATCTTGTATTTGATTTAGAAAAGATGTTGAAGGTTGTGGAACAAGAGTTCGAGTTATTAAATTGTAACATTTTGCAAAATATTTTATCTGGAACAACAGGATTTTTCCAGGGTTCAAGGTATCATCTACGTCATCGTTCTATAAAGCAAAAGTTAGACGGAATAAATGTAAAGAAAATAAACAGTGTTTGAAACAACTTTGAGAAGTACGTTTTATTGTATAATGATTATAAATTAACTGTTAAGTGATGTCAGACTCACTCTTAAGAATGGAGAGAAAATAAAATAAAATTTCATATAAAAATTGGCTTGCTCAAGTTCTTGCACTAATTAAAAGACAAATATAGGTGAATAAGATATTTTATTAGGAGTAATGTAAAGGTTAGAGTGGATCATCAGCTCACGAAAATAATTTGGTAGATGCAATTCAAGGTGACGGGCGTCCTTTGACCACTTACACAATATTGAACAGAGTTACCACTAAAGATTATGATCACTTTTCTTTCGTGAATTCCTTAGCGTAATAATCGTACTAAATTTTCACATTGGTTTTCAATAATTTTTGAATAGATGTTGCAGTGACAATCCACAAATACAAGTTTATAGAATGATAGAATTAATCACCACCAACGTGAATGAACAGTAAATACACTTGCCCTCATTAGTATCTTATCTCATTGAGCCACACGAACGTCAAAGTAGAATACCTTGTCAGTGATTACGGAAAATGATTACTGAGTAAAATCACAACAATCAGTTATAAACAATGTGAAAATCTGGCACAAATGTGCATCATTTTGAGTTTCCACATTATATAATCAAACCAAGAGGGAATCATGAAGATGAATATCGTAGTAAAATTAATAGTAGTATCAGTGGTAGTAAAAAGAGAAGACCTAGAGATGCGAATTCATCTAGTAAAAGTATTACATGATTCCGAGACTCAGGGCATAAGAGTAAAAAAAAGCGAATGCATTTGGGCCACCCTTGAGAGATTCTGAGCCATATCACACAATGTATTAAGATATTGAAAGTCCCATAGAATTTAAACCGATATTCTAAACCAACAAACATGACTCAGATGAATAATCAGTAACTTCAGCGACTGTCAGTGAAATCCGAAGGAGGACCTACGACATGTGTGTATTGGTTCAAGTTACCAGACCTCATTAGTACAGCAAAATGAAATTGCCAGAAAAGATTCCCTACCTTGTCAATGGATTTGTAATCGTAAACTCGTATTCTGTGTCTGACCCCAAAATCGCTTACTTGACGGTCCCAAAATATAAGAGCAATGCTTCGACGGCATCTATGATCTGATACTAGTAGCCTAAGTTGGAAAAAGCCCACTACGCTTTATAAATTCTTGTTGAGATTTCACCTACACCACCGCGGCTGCTGAGACTCTCAAGATAAACGAAGTGGTCGGCACACTCAACTAATCAACTCCCTATCGTCAATTCAGACGGCGACGCAGGACAGTCCTAAAACAACATTTTGTATTTATATGGAGAGAAGTGCATCCTAAATTCCATTCATGATTAAAGCCATCAGAAGACTTCTTTTTTGCATCTTCACCAAACAAAATTATACCATCTGCGTATTCTAAGTCAACAAAAGAATCTTCTGAGAGGAGATCGAATTCTGATAAATCTGACAATGATGGTGGTATCTGTGAAAGGATGTTTGTGGGAAAGTTAGTTGAAAATAGGGACAGCAAACAACCCTGACGAGCACCACATGAAGTTATCGATTCCGACAACAGTTTACCATAAACTGTGATCTGGCGAGTAGTATTCGAGTAGATTTTTTCAACTTAATCTTACTCTAGATAACATTGCGCGTTGAAGTAGGAGGTGACTTGAGATATACGTATCAACCTATTAAGATTTATAGGGCCACCAAGTAATTCGCCATATTAGCCTAGTGACCTGCATCTAATATCAGCATTGAACAATGGGAGGCTCTTCTATTTCGAAGCCACTTATTAATGAATATGTTAGTAACCTTCGAATATTCTCTGCTTTTAAAGACCACGTTTCATGGACATTAAATAAAACAATTTTCTCTTTTGCACAGTATACTGGTCACCTCTTTAGCAGAAAGACATCTTACCTACACCCTAAGCAACGCAAGTATGCAGAAGGCAAGAAACTCTTTAAGAACCGCTTCAAGACTTCGTCAGAAACTGTCCTACTAGGGTTGATAAAACTTTCAGGATAAGTAAGGTGGTCGGTATATTCAACTTATTTACTTCTTAAGGTCCAGCCTAGGTACTGGACGCAGACCAGTAAAGAAACATTTTGACTGGATCTTCACGAAACAGAACTAAGCGCATTCTTCATGGATAAATAAATCATGTAGTAGGTGATTATTCACTGGAATGTTAGAAGAATGGAGTTTTACTGCTTAAAAGATGGCTAGGATGAGGTTAAACTAAAATGGAGAAAGTAAGTAGCTCTGATGAACTTGAAGCTACCAATTCAAATGAAAGTTCTCCGTAATCTCCTAGTAAAACAATAGTTTTCGAGGAACGAGTATACAGAAGGTTTATACAATTCTTCGATACATCTTTTAATAAAAGGTACAGCCACAAGCCCTCTAAGTCAAAGAAGTTGAATGACATCGTAAAGTCAAGAAATACAACTATATTTGGGCGTCAGTAAGTATGGATTTATTCGCAAACCTGACAAAGGGTGAATATTTAGTCAATAAGTTCACATCCAGGTATGAAACCAGGACAATTTTCTTGAGTTTTTTGTTCATGAGCCTTAGTAAAGCGTCGGATTATTGAGGATAAAATTTTAGACACTATGTAAGTCAAGCTAATTTCTCTGTAGTTGCCATGGGAGGATAATAATCCTTTAGTAATAAACTGAAACATTGAGTGATTGAAACTAGTCAAATGGGATTACGTCTAGTTCCCAAACTCTAGCCAGTATCTTAGTCAAACTAAACTGTTTTGTTTATCTTTTGAGTCATCTGGTCTGAAAGTGGATTATGATCTCGTACTTTTCAGAGAGGTTCACATTACCAACTGATTTTTTAATAATTTTTTAAGCGATAAATCTCAACAGTTTTCTGGTAACATCTATCGTTGCTGCCTTTTCTGAATTTGTTATTTTCACTGCTCATTTTTCCTTTTATAACTCTACAGATGAAATGATAGCTATTAAAAGCCAGCCAAACAGTCGATTTAGATTATTTCTGACGCATTATCTTTGTACCTTTCAGTTCTTATGGAAATCCTTAGGGTAAAAATTATTGTCTTTGAAGCCAACTTTTTCTTATCTCTCCTACCGTTGTGGAAAAGCAGTATTCCTGGAGACGCTAGAGAAACATGTTACTCAAGTCTTACTAGAGTACAGTGGGTCATACGACCTCATTATTGAAGTTATTCCGCTGTTTTTACTCTTATTGGACTCCAACAAGCTTGCATGAAGTGAGAGAACGTAAACGGACAAGTGTTGCATGCATTATAAATCGACTGGGGGAATTAAGATATGAAAGCTATATTACCATGTCTAGACAGTGGTCACGGAAAACATACAGCTAGCTGCATACATTTATAACCATACTAAAATTACAGTGGAAAAATGGTTGAATATTTATGCTGATTGGTCTAATGACAGAATGAACTAAGCGATAATAATATTCAGATTACCTAGGAGTATGGAGAAACTTTAACCTAATCGGTCAACAGCCTAAAATAACAACATGATAACTATACCATTTCATATCATAGTGTGTAAAAGAATGACCATGATAAGATGATTTTTATAAAAAACAATAGTTAAGAGGTTACTGACTAGTTAATAATTATGTTGAGTTTTTGGACAAAAGTGTTATCAATTATATAAAGTTTCCTCATACAAATTGAGTTTATAACAATCAAGAGATTCGATCGTAAGAGTAAATACGTGCTATGTGTAAAATATTTATGTATAATACTTGAATTACTAAGTTTTGTTATCGGTCTACTGTTAGAAACCTATGAACGTTTCAGATTTCGGAACACAGGAGATTTATAAAACATTCAGTCCCATTCAATGAGTGTGTGTGCATGGATGCATAATGATGCTTAAGTACGACTGTTTTTAGCACATGCTATTCATAGGTACAAGAAATTAGAAAACTATGTTTGATTTACAGATAAACTAAGAAAACCAACTGACAATACAAATTTAGGATTAAATATTGTTTGTTCAGATCTGAAAAACAGACATCCACATTTATTTTCAATATATACTACTTGTCGAAATGAAGAGAAAGTCAGCATATATAAACAGTTTTTTTCTTTTCAGTATTCACTTGAATAAGATTAATTCAATGAACACCATGGTATGAGAATAGGAATGGTTAATAAGCAAATTCAAATATTGTAGTCAGAGATCAACGACTAGCTAACTTCAGTGTATTATTTTTTGCAACACACAGAAAACGATTGAAATATTCATTAAGATGGTACTGTAGTGAACGAGAAATTAGGTGCGGACAACCAAATGTGTTTGAACACGAAATACAGAATCTTTTAGTAAAATCTGAGAACCATGCAATAAATACTTCATTTGCAAAATTTTAATCGATTGTCTCAAACTTGAGTGTCCCTTTCTTTCCAGACCAATCACTCTCTGTTCTCCTTCCCTTCTCTTCGATCATCTCAACCTTCGGCCACCAGACATTCCACTTTCGATCAGTGATACATACAACTTATATCTATCGACACACACAGCACCAATTAAACAGAAATTTTAAAAACGTGGTCTCAGTAATTAGAATCAGTGATTCAAAAATTCACATGTCAGTCAACTACCAAAAGTAGTTAGTGTAAAAGATTCTGTTGATGGGTCTTGTAAACTTTTGAGGAAAACAATCCTAACCTCAATATCAATCATTTATTTCAATGTAATTAACTATGTTCACACTTATTCTTAAAAAAGACAATCATATGTAGGTAGAAACATAGAAACATGTAACCACATATAAGCGTTTATATAATGAGAATTGTCACAAAAAAAGCTTTAATCGTTTCAACGATATGGTTTACCTCATTCATTGCATTGGCTAATTCTTCTTTAGATATATTATATTTTTCACAAATAATTTGTCGTGTTTGTTCTAATAGTTCATCTTGAAAGAAAAGAATCGTTGAACAAAAAAACAAAAGAAAAACAGTCGATTATTGAACTTGAAAATAATTGAATCATGAATGTCAACTACAGTTTCATTTATTAAAAAGATGACAAATAAGTCCGTTTGAAAGTTTCAAATTTCAATATAATTATTCTTCAAAAACCAAGAAAACATGTATTAAGATAATTTAATGATGACAGCGAATTCAAAGTTCAAGTTTGATCACATTTATGATAGAATCACTGATACTATTTTTTTTTTGGAAGAAAATAAATAAAATTTATTTAAAAATAGAACAAGAAGAATGACAACGATGACAGTGATAATTGGATTTGTTTATATTACATATTTGACATTTATCGATTTCGTTAGTTAAAGTAGTCAATCAATCATCATAATTATGACACAGATTATAATTAAATGAAGGAAGAAAGAGTAGTTTATATATATATAATGTAGAGATAGTCACTAATTTGTATCACTTTAGGAATATGACAGAAAGACATGGTAATAATAGAAACCTCATTATATGAAGATTTTCAATGATTTGAAGATAGTTTTAATCGAGAACTGTTAGAGAACTGAATACATCTGAATACATACATGAACTAGGAGTATATACACAATTAAACGAGATATAACATAATAAAGACAAAATATCATTAGAATATTGAAGAAGATAATTTACATTGTGTTCACCATGAAGCATCACTGATCACCCTACTCTACGATCACTATCTATCTATCTATCTGTCTATTTATGTCACTAAGTCTTATTTTCACATATTAATAAAAAAAACATGTGAATAAAGAGATTAAAAATGTAAAATTTGATTTTACCCTAATTACAGTGTTTTTATTTGATGAAGTTGCAATTTTATGTGTGTGTACTCAATATGAATTACCAGCCAATCCGAAAATAATTGATTGTATTTATAAGTTTACACTGATTATTATGCGTCTTTCCATCGCTTATTAATGGCACATACATGAATGATGATGGCGATGATGATTATAGTTTAAAATTACTGTTACAATTAAAACTCAAATAAATAAACAAAATTGGTCTACATCATTGATGGTTATGGTAATGATGATAATCAATTATGAATGTAAATAATAAATGTTAAAAGATTAGATATCTTCATTCTATTACAGATACAAACACACACATACATATACAAAACAATACATATTACTGGTTGACAAAAATTGATCGTAAAACATGATAACTTGAAAGCTATCTGGTGTTGGTCAGGATATTTTAAGTTTTGACAACAAGCAGAGATAACGTTCAAAGTCAGAAGACTAATCTAACTAGTGTACATGAGCAAAAGTTGATTGTTTTCTGAATTCGTTAGGATTAGGAGCCCCAATATCAGTGTACTAATACAAATGTGACTCGATAAATTGATTAATGTAACATGGATTACTTTTTTATCAGAAAGAATATACTTTATTTCTGATCGACATAACTAATTAAGAATACATCTTTAATTATATGATTAGCTATGAAATCAATATCAAACAGTTTTCATTGCAGAGTTACACGGTAATCTCTCTGATAAAAAATTACCATTTCTTATAGTGCATAAAGTGAAGTGTATATTAAATAGGAATGAATTCCTCTCTATCTCTTTCATTTTAAAAGATTTTATCTATCTATTTATTTATTCATTCCTTTATTAATTCGCTTTGATTTCAACTTATCAGTTTGGATCGTTTAATATTAAGTCTTATTTATATTAAATAACATAACCAGATTTCAATTCTATAAACAATTAGTATATGAGTTTTATGCTAATGAATCAGCTAACTATCACTTTATAACTAGATCAGATAAGCATAAATTATTTGTTTATAAGGTACATTTATGTGTATGACATAAAATACTACTGAAATAACCTTTAAAACGCATACCTATAACGTATTCGCAACTTCAAATAATAATCGATAGACTTCAATTAGTAGGCAGTAATTTTATTTATCCCTCATTAGATCATAAGTGTCATGAATAAGTGCTTCATAAAATAGGAGGTGAACAGAGACAACTATTAATTTAGGGTAATACTGAAGTATCACAACTAGCAATGAAAATTGATTTAACGAGTTGATCTTACTCATAACACAAATGAACAGAAAAATCATATTTCAGTAATTCCTATTTTATTTGAATAAATATTAGAATTCCGTACTACAATTTTGAATCGAATAAAATTAAGTTGGAAAAAATTTCGAGATGGGAAGAGAGTGAATGTTAATAGTGCATATACACAGTTATACGCAAGAGGATCGAACTGAGGATCTTGGTTTCTCGAATTAATTTCAAACTAGTCAGTGGCAGTTCTGTAGTGAATATTTTAATGTTTATTCATTTGTGAAACGTATACATATATCATAAAATATCGCTGGTGGAAATTGTTTCGCTCTTGACATAAATTAACTTGACCAACCGAAAATTTTTACTACAAATGACCTCGTTCAATCTCCATTAATCAAATAAGAGCAAAGTATTTTAACTATGCATAATCTGAATAAATTTATATGCATGTTAAAGTCACGTTTGCTGAGTATCTAAAACAAAATGATATTGTTCGTTTATATTCCTTGACTCAACCAATGTGTAGATAGGACATTCTTAGTATTATATAAACGTTATCTGCAACATAGTGAAAAAGTGAACTTTAGTAATGTGTGTAATAATAACAATAGTAAAGCTATAGTAAGTCATACTAGTAATAATCATAATGATACAATAATGTCCGATATGTATGATTTTAAAAACACTTTCATGTAGATTATCATTATGACTATTTTACGGAATCATATTTTGATTATTGTAAATTGTTACTTTCTCACATGAACCCCTATCACAATAACCACATGGTTAAAATGTTTTCATACCACTGCTTACAGTAAATAAATATGTGTGTGATTGCATTATTTAAACCAGAAGAAACGATTGTTTTTATGTTTTCTTAAACAACTTGATTAATGTTTAAAAACCAACCATTGCATAATATATTGACTTTATAGTTAGCCATCTCCACCCCCACCACTTATCATTAAAGTGAAGTGAAAAAGTAAACCGAAACTATCACTGAACAAGAAAACCGAATTGTTTGTCATAGGCGTCATTATTACCATTAGTTCTTACTTTATGTTGATAATTTTCTGAATGAAAACTACTATTTTGTAAAAGCAACAGACAGAGATTATTGGTAAGAAAAGAAATCAAAGTGAAAAAGTATTGTGTAAATTTACAAAAATATATAAATGGGTATAAACATAGACACTAGTGAATATGACACATTCGATTAGAGTATTAGCAAAAGTTAAGTTTATTTCTCCACATTTAAAAAAATAACAATGATTTTAAAATAAACAAAACTATTTACTTTGATGAAATATGTATAACTCTATTTACAATGTGAATGAATTAAAGTAACAAGTGAAATCCAAGAAGTTTAAAATTGTTTTAATTAAGAAAAAATCAATAATTAGTTTTTAGTTGATCAGTTAGCAGAAAATCACTAGTACTTTGGATCGTTGTTTTTCAGTTTTGAACTAGTTCAACTTATAAACCAGGTCCGAATACTGCTTTATATACATAGATTTGAATGACTAGGCAGTATTACCATATCGTAAATAAAAAATGCGACTGTCTCTTAGAAATGGTTGTTGAATTGTACATCACGATAAATTTTGCGCTACTTACTGTCTATTCAGTATCGTAAAAGTTACAACAAAAAGAGAGTATGTTTATGGGTAATTCATTCGTGATGTGTAGTAAGATATATTCTACAGATATTTCTTGCAAGAAACTGTTTCACTAGTCTTAATGCTAAATGGTATAATGAAGTGTTAGAGATGTTGTGACCTATGAGCTGGATAAACTGGTTATAAAGCTTCCATTGTTCTTATGAGCTACAAATTATCTCAAGAAGGGATATTGAATTCTTAAAATTTATATTGACCATAGTCATTAGGAATCTTTTAAGGTGTTTTCACCATTTTAACTGTCTACTCAATCCTATCCTATTGAAGCCTATGATTGAAATTAGTAGTATGCAAAACGAAGCTAATGTGCTTCTATTACAACTGAGCATATTCAGAAAAAGTCATTGAAATAGTGAAATACTAGTTAGTTACGAATTCTCCTGAAAGTCGATTGATCCGAAGAGATTTTTAAGGAAAAATTATGATCAGTGTTATCTGTAAAAATATCGATGCTCTAGTGAGAGGTTATGAACTGTGAGATACATCAGAATTATATATTTTGTTATTGTAATTAAACGTTCCGCTAATAATAAGGATTAAACTCAGTTGATGTCCCTAACGATACAAAGTATAGTTAAGGATAACTTTAGTGATGTAATTTATCTAAACTTTTTAATAAAGAAATTATCGATAATGGTTTTACTATGAAATATGAAATCCAATATCCATTCTATCCTTAAAATGATGACAATGCTGAAAATAATTTTACCAAAGAGAGCCGTGAAGTAAGTAGTAACTTAGCTTTCGACCAATAAACCGCAAACAATGTAAGGCAGTATCTCGTGTATTTATGTTACAGTTAAACATATATCTATAAGAGTATGAAGTATTTGAGGCATACTTCCTCAATCACTGAGTACTGAAAAATGTAATATTGTCTAGACCTCCGTGCTACTATTATACTAACAAATTACCCAGTTCCTAAAGTACGGTCATACTTACTATTATTTTCTCACTAATTTAGCTTGAATAGCATAAGATGTAAAGTTGAAAATATGCTGGATTCATCATGTTCTACAAACATGCTTCTTCTTGCTGCACTTAATTTTACTAGGAAAACAAAGTTTTATTTATTTATTTAAACACATAAATATTGGTACAAAAAAGCACCAGATAAATATGCGTCGCACAAAAAATTGTCATTTCATTTGATTGTGTGAGGGCAGTGAAACTGACCAGGTGCCCAGACTAAAGCAGGTGGTTTTCTTAGGGGCCCACACACGGAGCCTTTGACCTGAAGGTCTAGTCCACAAGGCAGTGGAGCATCGTAAGGAGATGCAGTCCCATGGTAGCCGGTGACCAACGATTGGTTCATGCGCCATTTGTTCCATCAGGATACTGGAGCCCATGTGCACCATTGGTTTGGAATCAGGGTTTTCCAACTCCCCTAGGTAGACTCGCCTTGTCCACCAACCTGGTTAAAGCGCCGGACATTCGCTTTTCGTCCTCTCAATTTCGTAAACAACAGTAGTGCCACGAGAAGGCAGTGAGTAGAACTTCCCTGGTAGAGGCTATATATTCGCTGGCCATGTGAGAGCATTTCGAGAGGGAGAGCGGACTCTCCCCACTCTCGGCCGTACCGGGGCATTTGGGGGCAAGAAAACAAAGTACATAAAACTTAAACCTATTGTGTGTGAAGGCTTGTGATATTCTAACTGAAGTGGGTAGCTAAACTGAAACGCAGTGATAGAAAATCAAGTGCTTTAACTATCAAGTCAAACGCTATGGTAAAATACGTATATTTTGTACAAATCTAGGTACTGTTGACCATTATATATATATATATATATTATTGGATTTGTGTATATTCAAACAAATATATATCATTGCACAAATTAACTATTTTAATTTATCTTGGTATTGATAATACAGTTATCTAACTATTTAACTAAATAACAAATCTATGCACTAATTCAACTTATTTTACTAATAATAACCAGATAAGTCGGTTAACGAACAAACCAAAACGGAAATAATAATCCAAATAATAAAAAATATCAACAAACTGTGTAATCGCTTTAATGTATGCTGATAAACTGATGAACTTTTTTTGTGCAGTTATTTGTAAAGATCGAGTTGGATAGTATTCATGACAATAGTTTGAATTATTGTAATTATATTATAACGATTATTATTTTTGGATAAGATTTGTTAAAATAATTTTTCATAGTAATTTAGTTTACTTACAATAATTAAGAATTCACTCTACAAACAACGAAAACGGTGGAAAATAAAAGTTATTGACTGTTTCAAAGTGTAGAGTACCACCGACTATTGATGTAATAAACTGGGATATCAAACAGATAGAACGCTTAGATCAACAAATCAAAAGTAGAACGGAAAACTTCAGTCATTTGCAGTGGTCTGAATCATTAAGCGAATTCAACAAAACATGTGTTTTCTAAAAGCACTCTTATCCCACTGTGCTAATGTTTAGGTGTTTGCTGTAATACTACATGCTATTTCCTGTATTTGATACACTTTTGTATTCGCTTTTCATTTCTAAATGATACTAGCGTTTACTACTTACACTTATTAGCTTATAATTCCAATCGAAATCATCTTATGTGAAAAGTAATCGTCCACACTTTTTTAAATCAATTTTTACTGAATTACTGTTTGTCTAGTATAATTTAAGTTTATTGTTTTCGATTTATTCCATTAACATAAGAAAAAATTATTTAGTTGATGTGGATCGAAATCATGAGACTTAAAGTAAATATTATTATTTTCCTAAAAAACCCATTTATAAAGTTTGACAAACTGATGGATTTTTCAATTTTTAGTGGTTGGTGAGCTACGAAACAGTTACTCAACTATGGCACTAGATATTGACCGTGTTATAGAACACTGATTAGTTTACGTTTTTCGAGTGTAAAGTCAGTAGTTTGGTTCCATACAGATGAGTGAATACTCTCTGTTGAAAAGTTTAAAGTAACGAAAGAAATAGATGTCCAGTGCTTCATGGTTTTAGGTGGAATTTTATTCACTGAGTTGGATGGTTACGTTGTGGAACTTTCATTGTTCTTCTGAACAACATCATCAGTACAAACCTCAGGTAGAAGTGGCGTCCGAATTTCTCCACATATGACTCACAACTTGTTCTGTACACCTCGATCTTGATTTTTAATGACCTCCTAGCTGATTTCAGCCCATAATAGACAATACCTTTTAAAATAATTCATTTCAATCTGTAGACAAGACTTTAGTTCGTCTTATTTAGATTGAGTGATGGAACCAGGTGTGTCAAACAATATCCACATATAAAATATTTAAGGGATTTAAAAAAAAATCAAAGACCAGTTGACAGATTGTAACAATCATTGATTACTATTAGTAGCAGAGCACCTAGGTAAAAGGTTTTATGGCATGATTTCCCGAAATTTATTTATTTATTCTTTTATTGTACAATCAATTATTTAACTTTTTGTAGCAGAGTTGTATGGCTTAAAACAAGCGTTGTATTAACCTGTTTAGTCAAAAAGGAATATGTACTAATTACAGAACCCATAAATCCAAAATGTTTATCTAACATGTTTAATCATAGATAAGTGAAAAAAAGAAAATTATTGTAGCTTCGTACAATGTGTTATAAGATACTGAAGAACAGAAATATGCGAAACATTCATTTAGTAAACAAAAAAATCTCGAAAGAGCTCTCAGAAATCGAGACTAAATGAATCATTCTGTATGGTGGGGTTAGACATCGATGATGTGGAATGATAGTCACACCAGATTGCAAATCGACGAAATTGTGTTATACTGACTAACAGATTTGAAGAACCTCAATTAGATTCATTAAGAACCGTTAGGTACTGTCATGTAAATATTCTCAAACTGTGGTAAAATGGCGATCTAATGCTCGTAGTTATTTAGTGGTTCTCTGATTGATGATAAATTTGTGTTAAGAACTATTTCATAAAAATCATCTACGTATTGAAAACAAACGACTAAAAACTAGAATAATCAGTCAATGCTTTATCCTGTTCCCAAATTGAGTAAGAATTGTGAAACTTTACAACTATTCAGTATGAGTTGACATAAATCAGATCGAATATAGAGAAAGCTTGAAATCATTTGTTGGTGCATGCTAAATATTGATAAAATAAGACATAAGCTTTTTCGGGGATATAGGTTCTTCGTGGAGAAATCAGCTGATAAAACAGACTTGCTGATTTGAGTATAAAACCTAAAGCTTTTTGAGGACTTATTTGAAGATTGAAAAATAGTGAGATCAATTGCTGCCTACTGGTGTTCTAAGTAATTTTGGATAGTGCTGAGGAATAAATGCGGTGTTGTTCCTCTGAGAAACTAAGTGGTCATATATTATGACATACTATCGTACAGTGTGATGAGGTATATGTAAAAACCACCGCAGTAATCTTATTTAGTTGAAGTTTATAACCTGATCGAATGGTATAGTGACTATGTTTAAAACCAAAATAAATTGTACGGTAGTTTCAACATACTAGACTAGTATTCAGAATCGGAGATGATTTATATATCTGGATATTAGTATGGTGCATTGACAACAGACAACTCAAAAGTTACATTGATATAATACTGGAATTAAAAGTAATAATGAATGTTAGCCAAATTCTATTTTTATAAGATAAATAAACTTACTCATAGCAGTTTGTAATTTATCAACAAATACAGTAGATTCCTCTCCGGAAGAAATTAGATCAAATCTGCTAATATCTGATGGGTAGGTAGTTTTATCATTATTTGTAGTAGTTGGTGATGTAGTAGGAAGTTTACCGAATGAAGTTTTCAAATCTTGAGTTGATGGTTGAGGAGTAATAACTGAAACTTCATCAGCTGTAGGTGTGTTACCTGAGGCTTTAGGAATAAGCGATTCAGAAGTTATACTGATCGTCGACCTGTTTTGAGTAGATGATGATGGTGATGAAGAGGCGGCAGCGGCGGAAGCACTTGGTTTCAACACACGTTGTCGATCAATACTTTGTGTAGTCACACTATTTTCTTGAATATAAGCTGACCAACTGATAATGTTTTGATAGATAAAGCACAGAAACATATGGCACATATAAATATTTTATTAGGAAAGACAACTTCGAAACTTTCTCACTAATAGAATTAGTAATAATACATGAACAAGAAAAACTAGGTGTCAGTAAACACGTTGGATCCTAACTGGTAGTGGGATCCAAGACGATCATTTTGCCCTATTAGGGACTCTGTCAGTTGAGTGTACCTGTATCACAGTTTTGGTCTTTATCAGAATAGAGAACGTATTACACAGTTTTTGCAGATATATTCAGAAAAACGTTTGCGTTCAGCGTTCTGTACATCTTGGTACTCTTTAAATAGAAAAATATTGTTTAAATATTGAGGGAAATAGTATTCCTATGAAATCGTGAACACAAACTACTTAGCGCTATCAACCTTCAGGCAAGCCAATATTGATTTTTTTTCTGATATTTGCTTGCATATAAACTCAATAGTCTCGATAAGTAGTACGTTGGTAAACAAAGATACCACATCCATTGAGAACATATTTTTCATGCTAACATTCATATTTTCCATTTTGGAAGTGTAGTCGAAAACATCTTTTACACTCATTCTAACAAGCGACTCGTGCAAAGGTTCTAAGATCCGCACTAGCCACTGCAGTTTTGTGGTAAGGAGAATTGTTCATATCAAGAACTAGGCGCAGAGGAAAACCTGGTTTATGTAATTTTAGAAAATGTACATAAAAGTTTCTAAATAATATTCAGTATCTATAGACAATAAACAAACTTATATCAAAGAATAAGAAATGGGTATTGGAGATGTTTCAAATTTCATCATTTTCAAGTATCGATTGAACTAAATCAAAACAAAAAAAGCAACAACTAACTTTTGCCTTTCATCTTCTTTTGAAAACAATAACCGGATCAAAACTGTTTGCTTCATAAAGACAATATTTAATAGATGATCACCACCTATATGTTTGTATGCAGTGAAAGAAAAAGAACAAATTAATCCCTTTTATATTTAATAATGGGTAGTACAAAACAGCAAACTCGTGAACCATGTGTATTAGAAAATCTCAACTGAATTATTAACTATATTAGGACTGTAGATAATTAGAGCTTGTGGGAGTTAAGGAATGATAGATATTAATTAGCTAAGTGGGATTTACAAATGATTATTTCATATATTGTCGTGTTATAATCAATTACAATACACTGTTTGTTTCTTAAAAATAGTAAACTCTAAACCATTTTCCTTACCGATGATATTAACGGAATGATGAAATGTATGTTGATCCCACATACCATCATGACGATATATATATATATATATAATACTGAAAAGTAAACACTGAGCAGTTGTTTTTTCTTACTACTAAGATGACTACTAATAGTAACATTGATAATATGGTAATAATAATGATAGTAATAATAATAATAATAATAATAATAATAAATTGCTTCTAAGCTACTTATTTATAAAATAAAAATGGGTCAAAACTACTAGGTTCATGCCTAAATAATGATTAACATTTAAGATGGAATATCAAGGAAGCGTATATCCCAATCCTGTAAAATAAAATTCACTGACATCCACTGTCTAGAAGTTGGACATTTTAAGGTCAGTAGTGAATTTTAAATAAAATTAGGGAAATAGTATTTTCAGTCCCAAATAAATGTTACATGAGTATCTATTGTACAAATGTGATTATATAATGTTTACTTCATAATGACAATAATAATGTTATTTTGAAAGTGACTTTTAGTGTTCAGCTGTAAGGATTGTTTTAAATTTTTCTATATGAAGTAAACAATATCAATCCGATCCAGAAGCAAACAAACATTAAATAATCAGTTGATAAACAAAGAAGAAATGTAAGAAAACTAAAAACATAAATAAACTAAATCAATTCACAAACTAACCAAATTTTTCACCACACGAAGTAAACACATCTATCAATGGGAATATAGGAACAAGTTTTGAACTTCCCAACGACGTCGACGAACGATCAGTCATACTGGCGACTGCAGCACTAGCTGCTGCTGAAACAAGGCTTGTATGTGATTGAGTATTTGAACCAGGCAAAGAACTAAGAGAACTACATGAAGAGATAGAAGAATAACCAGAAATATTGCCTGAGTTGGGTCGGTCTTTTTCACTAGTTGTACAAGGTGTTCCGAAACTGGAAAGACGTTCAACAGCACTACTGTTAGAAGCAGAAGTACTAGAGATTCCGCTACTACCGCTGCCACCACCTTGTTCACGTACAGCTTTAAAACTACGTAAAATGTAACGTTCACCGTCCTTCACCATTAAAATAAGTGCATTGTGCAACAAAATAGCCAACATTTCAGTTCGTTCACAAATATAATCATGATTTACTTTATTTGATCGATTAGCCGTTAATTTATCAACTGTTACTTCAGCATGTGCAACAACCCAATGATGAAATAATACACGAGGAAAGTTTAAAAGTAAATGCTATAAAGTGATAGAATGAAGAGAAAAAAATTAATATAAGGTTAAATTAGGGGAAAAAGAACAAATTTTGGTAATAAAACACAATTTAAAATATTTAATTGAATGATAATTTTGATATGGGAATTCTTAAAAAGAAAATATGATTTTAACTAATAATATTCAATTCATTAGTGAAATATTATTTGTATGATATGACACAAATGATAGGAACCAATAGTCTTGAAATAGACTTTTTCTTCCTCAACTCATCAATACTTTGTACGCCCCCAAATGCCCTGGTACGGCCGGGAGTGGGGAGAGTCCGCTCTCCCTCTCGAAATGCTCTCACATGGCCAGCGAATATATAGCCTCTACCAGGGAAGTTCTACTCACTGCCTTCTCGTGGCACTACTGTTGTTTACGAAATTGAGAGGACGAAAAGCGAATGTCCGGCGCTTTAACCAGGTTGGTGGACAAGGCGAGTCTACCTAGGGGAGTTGGAAAACCCTGATTCCAAACCAATGGTGCACATGGGCTCCAGTATCCTGATGGAACAAATGGCGCATGAACCAATCGTTGGTCACCGGCTACCATGGGACTGCATCTCCTTACGATGCTCCATTGCCTTGTGGACTAGACCTTCAGGTCAAAGGCTCCGTGTGTGGGCCCCTAAGAAAACCACCTGCTTTAGTCTGGGCACCTGGGCAGTATCACAGCCCTCAAACAAATCAAATGAGATTTGTGAGGCGCATATTTATCTGGTGCTTTTTTGTACCAATATTTATGTGTTTAAATAAATAAATAAATAACTACTTTACATTAAGATAGATCATTGAGATTTGAAACAATATTATTTAACGACTCTGGTTAGTTCCAGCTTGATTTGTAAAAACTTGAACGTTTACTTTTAAGCATGAAGGCTTTTATGTGCTCTAAATGATTTTTTAAAACAAGTTATTATAATCCTACAAGAGAGAAAGGGAGAAATTATCGCTAATCTCTGTTGGACATTTTCGACATCTCGATAATTCTTTTACATAGAATCATATTTATTTAGTAGAAAGATTTATGTTGTGATTTTAGTGTCCCGGTTATTCGGTAATTATGTATACAATAGTAAAAAATAGTTTATACGAGTTATTCGCAAGTAGAGAGGATACGTTCTTCCAAAGTGAAGAATAGATGATGAGTTATGTAGTTGGCCGATCAATAATATGAAATCAAAGGAAAGTTAGCTTTTGTTCCTACCTATTTTTGTCTGAATCTGAAGCAATGAAACCATAATTACGACCTAGGATTATTAATAATTCGATCTTTAAACTGTATAGTTCTATTATAATTTAAACGGTAATTAATGTAATGTTAAGAAGTTGAATATAGTTTTGAGAAAGTTTAACCGTAGCGCACAATGTTCGATAAAACATTGATCTACAGATACTAATAGTGTTCATTCCTTTTTAACAACCTATGACATCGTTAAATTTAAAAAAATGTTACGAATAATCAGGTTATTCAAAAATAAATATTTTTAGTAAGTATAAAAGAGAAAATTGAACATTCACCTGGAATGGTAATAATAAATCCGGAAGCGGTTTAGACAAAATATCTTTTTTATCCAAACTAGTGCATAGCTGACCAAGATTAATTCGTTTAACGAGAGGCATACAAACATTATCGATAGTTTGTGGCAAACTGGCCAACTTCAGTTGAATTTGTTGCCAAATTTTAGCTTCAGCTGAAAAAAAAGTTTTTTTTTCGAAAAAAAACAGTAGATTTAAATGAACCGAAGTGAAATGAATTTAAAAAATGTGGCGTAAAGTATTTGTTAGGACATAAGGCAAACAAAGTACATTAGGACTAGAATAGTACATGAAAAGATATAAAAAAAGATTCAGTCTAGGAATTGGTAACTAACTTTATATGTTGCATAATCTCGACTCAAGCAGCTATAGTAAAGTGAATTGGTGGTTGAAGCAATTGTCTTTCAAACAGTAGATGGAGGTTTGAACCACGCTTCACTCACTACAGACTGTATAGTACACGGAGTATCACTAGCTATCACAAATAACAGTGTAGATTAAAACTGAGTACATGAGATTTGTACTTGGTAATTGAGGTACTTTATTAAAATGTTATAAATGATCGCCCCTCAATGTCCTGGTACTGTCCAAGGTGGTAAGAGTCAGAGATCTCTCTCAAAAAGCTCTCATATGGCCATCCATATACAACAACTCTCAGGGAAGTCCTATTTATTGCTTTCCCGTGGTAAGAGTGTTGTTTACGAAAATCAGAGGACGAAAAAAAAGAATGTACAATGCTTTAACCGAGATGTTAGATACGGAGAATTCATCAAGGGGAATCGGAAAACCCTGATTCCAAACTATTGGTGCATAGGGGCTCCAGGATCCTGAGGAAACAAAAGGCGTATGAACCCAGTTGTTGGTAACCGGCTAACATGGGACTACATCTCCGAACGTTGCTCCACTGCCTTGTAGATTCGACATCAAGGTCAAAGGCTCAATGAGTAGCCCCTAAAAAATCACTTGATTCGATTTGGGCTCTCGGGCAATATCCCAGTCCTCATAGAAATCGAATGATGAAATGTAGCGCATATATATTTAGTGCATCCTCATACTAATGCTTACGTGTTAAAAAATAAATGTTGAGATCTGTTTAGCAAATATTTCAAAAAGCTAAATATAGTAATGTATATCGAAAACAGCAAAACTACAAACACATGCTAACAAGACAGATAGTGATGTTACAATCGTCATAATGTAAAGATACAATAATTCATCAGATAGTAAATGTAAGGACAGCTTCATCATCAACAGTTAATTCATTTGACCACATGAAACAACAACAAAATATTTAATGGTAAGAAAATCAATATCAATTACCTTTGTATATTTTAGTTCTTTTTTCCAAATCTTTTGCAATATTATTTGCAATTAAAGGTAAATTAAAGTAAAGAATTCGCATCTGTTTTAAACCTTCAATTAACACAAACTTATTATGCCGAGTTTGTAATAAAGGTACAATATCTGGATGTCGGCGCACATAATCACGAACAGAATGTCGAACACTTTCCAACATATTTGAACATGAAAGAGCTTGACAATGACGGGCCCATGTCTGTGAAGATAAAAATTATGAAAACTTTTACATTACGAACAATAACATGAATGAAAATAATAATAATAATCACGTTATACAATACCATAGCTTTTGATACAATAGGGAATTCTGAGTATAAATTATCAAATACTGTGGTGAATTCTCTTGAATCTATAAATTGTTTGTAACGATTTTGAAAAATACTATTGAATATTCTTTTAGGAAGGGTGATTAGCGGTAATGAATTCTGAAGAAATTCGAGCCATTCATGATTAACATCATACACTGATCTTATTTAGACAACCAATGAAGACCAGGAAGCACTGGACAATTGTTTCATACTAGTAAAGGACCTCTCAACAGTGTGCCTATCTAGACTTAGTTACGTGTATCATATCGTCGTTTATCAGCGAAATTTTGTAGACCACACCATGGGAGTAAATACCAATAATATAGAAACAATATGGCAGAGGCCAAACGAATTTTTGCGACCTTATCATGGCTGCAGAGGTAGATCAATATGAAGTCACATGGATGAGTTCCTCTACCTTATGCTTTATGATTTCAGAACTAAAAGAAAAAACCTCTTTTTAACCTTCAAAAGTTTCTAAACCATGTTAAAGAAGTGTATCCATTCTAATTTTTTAGTTTTGCATAATATATTCTTACTCTATACCGACTATTTCTCAAGGTCACTTAAGATTCGTCCAAAGGTAATTCATATATAATGGTCAGTGAATATTATCGATACAAAATTAATTTATTATTCATTTACAGTACTCAGATTTCAAAATCACGCATTTTTGCCAATATAGTATATCTCATGTACTTTGAACTAACTAAACTAGTTTAGAGAGAAAATAACCCGTGTAGTAGAGTGATATATATATCAAGCCTAAGAATTACATAGTGATCGAAAAAAATGGGTAAAATTTAATGTACGAAAATCGCTAAATGTTCTATGGTTATTTTATTTTATTTCTCTTCTAATTAAGAAAAAAGTGGAAATGAGTGAACAGTTGTATGAACTATCAAGCATACTCAGACCACTGGTACATATTGTAAATAAGTATTTTAATGATTGTTTTGAAATAAATAATTATAGGAATAAATTTTATTAATTCATAATTTTTATTTACTTTTAAATTAGTCGATGAATTATCAGTTAACCAGGCTAGAACAGCTTCAGCCATACCACGATAACCTTGTTCGGTTTTTGTTTGATCAATACAAGTAACAAGACTACGAAAAAGATTAATCAATATAGGAATCTGATCAAGGCATAAAATTTTAGACAATTTCGCATGTTCCACAGGCCAACGACGTAATAATAAATACTCGTATTGTTTCAAATGACGAACCATATATTGAGTTTTTTGATGAAATTCCAATAGGACTAGTGTACGAACATATTCTTCACTTTTTTGACCCTTTATGTTCAAAGAAAAAAAGATTATATTAAAAGAAATGAAAAAAAGAGAACAGTCTCTTTCTTCCTCTTGACAACTTAACATAAATGATAAACATTCATATGTAACTAATTGAAACAGTTGTTCTTATATATATATATATATATATATATATATATATATCACCACATTGTACAGTCTAAGCTGATGATAACAAGCAAAGATGATGGTTAGCGTGTAGAAAAAATTTGTTGCATAACTCTACTACTTCAGCTAGAAATATTAAATGAAATAAATTTATGTGACATTTTACGAGTTTCGTTTATTTTAATAATTTATCCATGATGATGAACTGATAACAAATTATGTTAAAGAATGAGACAAGACTAGGAATGTGTACGTATTATGGATCAAAAATAAAAACAAGAAAAGCATAAATAAAATAATTTTGGGAGAAATGATGTGTAGCAGACAAATGACACTATTTATAATATGGTTAATTGCTTCCGTCTAGTGATACTGCTAATACAATATCTCAAATTGGAATACTGTCATCTTACCCTACTAATGTGATAGTAGTTAACTCAGCAGATGTATTGTCTGTTAGCTTTTATATTGTATATCACTGACTAGTAATAAGTACTGACACTATAGAACCAAGAGGTCAGTATTTGATTTTGATATTGAAACTATTTTCAAACAAGTGCTTTCTTTGGAACAGAAACTTGTTTAATGTTCAATTTGTTTCAAACTCTTTGATTACGAATAAAGTTGTGGCCCTTGCACCGTATCAGTATTAAAAACCATGTATAGTTGACGTCTATCATATACACAGCGATTATTAATCACTTCATAGCATTTTCTTGAAACATAAGCTAACTTGCAGAAGCCAGTCTCCTCACTTATCATAATTACATGAGGTTCCTATTAATATCTTAGTCGTTTGATCTACCAAGTGAAGTAAGATCCCAATTCATATAATTAGTACCTTTTCGATCATTTTCTGTTTCTGAATACAGTCCACAACACTGTGGGGGAAATATTTTAACTGTGTTTAGTTTGGATCTTTGAACCATCTTCAATTATTTCTTCATGTTTGTAAAATATCTGAGGCGGTGACGGTCCAACCTACCAAGTAAAGATTCATGCACTCGGCTGAATCATACTATATGTGTGAGGGCCTGTGCTACTGAGCAGTTGTCAAAGCTGGATTAGGTGAAGCAGAACTGAAGCCTGTGGACTACTGAGTGAAAACTGATCTCCTTAACTATAAGGCTACTGTTCCGTATCGGTTAAAAAAACGAGGGATACTTGAGACAGCCTAGCCCATTTATAAATAGAAAATTTTAGAAATGTAAAATGAGCGATAAAATATTCCTGAACTTGATTTCAACTCATAGTATAGAGAATACTGAATTGAAGTTAAGACATCGAACATTGAAAAAACAGTGTTTATGCATACTTTACTAGGCATTTGAAAATTAGGAAATTGAGCTCGAAGTTCCACTGCTGCTTCAAAACTTGCTCCTGCAATCATTTCTGGATCATCACTCCAATCTGTAGTAACTAATTCACGTACAGTCTCATTGATATTTGATACAGGACTACTTAACGATGATGAAGCTGGTGGTGATGTTTCGACTGGACGATCACAAGGACCTGTTGTGCTACTTGGTGCAGGTAGATTTAAGGAAATATTCGAAACGACACTATCACTAAAAAATAAAACAAAATCCAGGATTTAAAGCAAGTTGATAACTTAGTGATGATAAAATAAAATCTTCAAAATACAAACAACGTGAAATGATTAAAAAAACATCCGTCAGTACTAACGCCATCGATTTTCAAAAGTGGACTACTGACTAGGTGTATTACGGCAGTAATATTTTTAAAACAAGATATTAACTATATTAAATATGGGAGATATTTAATCCGTAAAATACAGCTGTAGATAAGTCTTTTCAATATTCTTAGGCACAAAAAAACACTAGATGTAGGCTTTTGCCTTACTGTATACCATTTTCTTAAAAATTATACCTGTATTAGCAGTAAGTATTTTTATAGTGACAACATTTACGTTAAAATGAAACAATGAAATAAGTAACTTCAAGCCAACAAACAATAAAAACATTTTGATGGCTAAGTTATTTAGGTAAATATTAATTGTGACAAAGACTTCAATAATATAGTAGTCATAATAACTAACAACAATGACAATATATAACTTGGCAAAATTCACATAATATTATCGAGAAAGCTAATATGTCATCGCATTGCAACAATTAGTACTGTTTACAGAAGTTTAAAAAAATCCTAAACTGAAATAATTTCGTTATAATGATGATTATTGATTATCAATAACATATATACCTGAACTCATTTACTTTGTAAAAACAAAGGCTCCGAAAAAAGAAACGAAAAGAAAGACAATCAAAGAAGGCATGAATGAAGTGAGGTCACAAGTAAAGCTTATGGTTACTCCTAATAACTATACATTTGTTTCTATTGGAACAGTTATTATTTGAGAAATATATAAGGAATTATTGAATCAACCCAAATTATTAACATATAATTTAGACAAAGTATTATCTAATTAATTAACTTGATTCTTTGAATGTTGATTCTAAACTAGTTGAATTATATAAATATAATAATTTTAAAGTCAAATATAATTTGAGGAGGAGAAAAAAACTAAAATTTTTGAATATTCTAAAATAATTAATTTTTTCACTTTTGTTTAAGAGTGCTGTTAGAGGTGTGGGGGTGGTTATCACTTCCCGGTTACCACGCCGAGGAAGGGTTCTTCTGGAGCTACATGAAAAGGAAATTGGGTTAGGGTTGATCTGAGTGACCTGAGAGCGTGACCACAGTGCCAAAGGGACAACTGCTTGAAGTCGGTTACACACGACCTTTTTGTGGGGAATTTTTGTGTTAGCTCCGTACTTGTTGGGATCTTATCGCCGGAAATCGATATCAGTGGGATAATGCGAGGTGTGTATTTTTAAGATCGACCCTTTCTTACCCCACTCCTCCTTGTGGAAAGGCAGCATCGCTGTTATGCTGGTTGTCTGAAGTAAACATTTTACTGCTGTCACACCTCTATACAGCTAGAAGTACGACTTCGCCCTCTGAACTTGGGTTTTGCTGCTTTTAGTTTTACCGCTCTTCAACAGACCTGTCTGGCAAGGTAGGACCTTGAGGAACGATTGTTCCAACCAGTATAGCTCGACTGGTTCACCACAATAGGCAAGCCAGACCACCCCGTCCAGGTAGCAGCAACGGTCGAAACTTTTGTTTTACTGTATTAAAATTTAGGTTTCATAGATAATTATTTATTTTCAGGAGGCGGAGTTGTGGAGATTGTAGTGTTTTTAACAGATGAATTTACGAATCAACCTATGCAAGACCAACAATTAAAATCTGGAAGCACTAGACGGCCGTTTAGCTCTAGTATGTGACCCCTCAGAAGTGTGCGTCCACGACCCAGAATAAGGGATTCGAGCCCAGGGCTTGGATTTTCAATGGTGGTCTATCTTAGATCGACTCTTGGATTCAACTGTTAGAAATTATTTATTTGACAAGCTTTTACACTGTCCTATTTTCAAACAATTAAAATCAACAACTTATTATCAAAAGAAATTTTTAAGGTATCCATCAAAACCTGTAGTATATCGAATAATAACAGTAGTAACAAAACATTAGTAGCACCAATGACTCGATATACAGGTTATTTCACTGAACGTATCCACCATATATGGAAATTGTCCCGTTATTATAAATATTTGGCTGTCTATCGATTAGCAACGCTCAGTATTGTAGTTTTAAGGATTGAAAATAATTTCTCTCACATTTGCATTCATCTTGGGAAAAATATATCAAGGTATCATACTCCAATCACAAAATAAATTTATTATGATGAGACTATCAGTTCAGAGGTTGCATAAAAGTTGAGCTACTTGATTTTAAACCAGTGGATTTTGAGCTTGAATCTCATTGGACAACCAACTTGTATGACTATTTCTCTATCTCTCTCTATCATACACACATGATATGTGGATCAAAGCAGTATACTTAAACATGGACTTGGTGAACCTACTTGTTGGTTAAAAATTCATAATTTTACCCATTTAATCAAACACAACAGCGTCAAGTGGATTTCAACATTTGATTCGCTAATTGAGAGTTAAACGATCAAACTATCAAAATTATACCTTTCTAAAAAATGAATAAGCACGTTAACCACATGTAATTAAGTGATAGAATGAATAAGAGAAAGTTATCATTGATCTATAAATTAGTTAAAGCCCACCTTCGAGACGTTGGAATTGTTTCTTGAATTATTTCACTTCCTTCGTATAGATTTTTCATTTGTTTTACATAACCTTTATTTGTTTAAAAAAAGAAAAAAACAAAAAAGAATAAATATCGAATAGATGAACACAAAACCAAAGGATGGAACAAATCAGACAATAAAGGAATGTACGATAACTAAATAAATCAAAGACAACTTTGTGAGTCATCGAATAATGTATATGAATGGAATGTGAAAGGCAAAATTTGATATTGAAGTATATAATGTAAATATATACAGATAAAACATATATTGTAAAGTACCAAATAAAGTCAATTAGTATGGACAGCGAAAATCATATCAATGATAAACCGATGTATGAACTAGAGCTTAAGAGAAAATCTTTGAAAAATTTCCCCTCCCCAAGTTTGATGCAGTTTTCCGTTTCAAAAAAAATGCAAACAAGCTAGTACTGAAGATCAATGAAATTAAAAACCTATTTCAAAGTTGAGTTAATGGATAATATAAAGAAGCCAGCCAATATAGAAATGGTTCATTTAATAATGATACCAAGGAATTACGGATTGATATATTGTACAAATGCGCAATTTTATTTCAGCAAATAGAAAAAATGAACACCCACGGCCTTACTGTGTCCTTCAAAAATTAACTTAATAATTACTAATAAGTGGTTTAATCTCATATGAATAATTACACTGAGATAATTCTACTTTTGAATTGGTTGTTTGAATCTACCCACTGATGTTCAGGACTACAATCGATCAGTCTCTTACTGATAAATATGCATCCTGTGACGGTTGCCTTGAAACTGACTCAAGTCACTAGCATGATAAGTGGAAATGATGCTGGCTAGAAGTGGAATTCAGGATCGAGTCCTGAAGTGAAAATCAACTCTGAGATGCAGGTATATCCAGCTGATGAGTCCTGAATGGAACTAAAAGAGTGTTCTGGATTCCACTGCTAGCCACCATCATCGCTTATATTGAGATTATCGTTAGGATTCGCTCTTAATAATGAATACGATCATTGGAATACTGACACGTTTTGTAACAAATAGCAATTTCAACATCAATATTTCATAAAAATTTAAATGCTGTTAATTTACTCTAAGTTTAAACGAAAGAATTATGAACGGCTCAGTTATCGATTCTTTGGAATTATAGAAAAATAAGTTGTTAATTTTTTCAAAACATAAGTCAAAATAATAACAGAAAGAAAATTATATTTATTTATGAAGGAAAGACTAATATATTTTATTAGTTACGTTGTATTAGTGTGTAAGAAGTATTACTTGACACAACATTTGTAGTGAAATCAACTGTATATACTCCTATCATTTGCAAAGACCTGTTCAAAGGTCGACCACAGTTGAATTAAATCATAATGAACATTTAGAGATGAAAACAGTTTGGTAAAGAATAGAAAGTATCAAAGACAATAGTTTTAACTGTCCGATTATTCAAGCTTGAACACAGGGAAAGTAACAGAAATTGTTTTAATAAGGGATCGCAGTTTTATATAAGAATTTAGATGTCTTGTAACTACTCATTTACTATGTACAACTTTAGATCTTCAACTTTCAGATGCAATATGTGTAAAGAAAGGCTACTGATATTACAAACATAGTTACTACTGGAAAAGTCTTCAGTTGGAATGAAGAAAAATTTTCTAAAACGTTAAACGGACGAACGAAAAAAAAGTATGATGAAAATTTACTTATATATATTTTTATGCAACTGCAGGTCAAAACTATTAACAGGACCATAGACATTTGTAAAACTGATGTTTAGGAGACATTAAATGATGATTATTAGTAATTAAACAAATGAAATTTTCTGTGTCAATTAGTATAAAAACAGATCAGAATTAAAGATGAACAAAAATTTGTACAATAAAAGCGGTTTAGAAAATCATAAAGCAGAAAGAAATCATATATATATTCTTTAAGCTGGGTAGAGTCTTTTAGCAACGCTGTGTTCAACAAGATGGGTTTTCGGACCCCATGTCCAACCCTCCTGCTTGGTCAGGGCATGAGACCGACAGTGACACTAGATGAGCTAAGGGTAATCCTGGTGAGCGGCCTATTCTCCTCCACTAAGGGTGGTATAATCATGGCAGTATTTTTAGGTAAAATCGAAAGATGACTAACAGTGGAATCTGTGTGACATGCGTTTCCTCCAACTGGGGACTTGTTAGCTAGATGTACCTGAATAAAATTATTGAAGATTCAAACGATTACAAGTAAACAGTAAATGAGTAAAATTAAAGGCAACTCTGATGATCAATATTAACATACAGCACGCACACATACAGAGTGTTATTTAATTAATTTGCAAACAAAAATACATATCATTGATAAATTTTCACAAAACAGCTGACTTGTTTACAATCTTATACTTATATATACTTATACAGATATATGCTAACCTGTAAAAATTCAAATGATTAACATATATAGCATGGAGATGTTATGTTCTCTGTGTAACATTCGATCAACTATCTAAAACCTGTCTAATTATAACTGGTGTACTATTTGAGTGCATAGTAATAATCAAAAATCTGTATCACTGAATATATAAATAAAAACAGCTCGAATAAGGTGTAGCATTCCTCATCTCTAGCTAACAAACAGGAAGAAATGAAATGGAGTGAAACTTAATTTAGTCCATAAAAGTGTAACATTTGAAGAAGCTGATGTAGACAGAATCAAAGTCACACTATAAGCAAGACAAATAACAATCAATGAAATGAACACCGAAGAAACGTAAACAGAAGGACATAATGTTCACTGAAGAATTCAATAAGGACAGTTGTCAAAGTAATAGCCAATTAATAATTTACCTTTTAATGATAACATATCAAAAATTTACAACTCATAATACGTTGAATAATTTCAATATCAAACACTTATCGTTCGAGGAAAACAGGATAGATATACTAAAAAGAAATTAACCTTGTTTAATTGTTATACTTAAGCGACGACGTGATGATGATTTCGAATCCAATGGAACTTTAATATCTTCAGATGAGAATAACACAGTAGAATGATTAGGTGCAATTTTTATTACTTAGAAAAATATTAGCAAATATCACAACAGCCGTTAAACACACGAAGAAAGAGAAATTGAGCATACAAATGTTAAATTTGTGAACGTTAACAAGAATATGGCATGAAGTACACCGAGTAAAAAAATATAAATGACAAAAATGGAAGATAATGAACAATTATGATCGAAATAGCCAATGTTAAATGCAAAAAAAGACCAGTTCATGTAAATATGCACAGATTGATGTGTGTTCATGTGTACACCCAAAAATATCATCAGCATTTCCACAAATATAAATAAGTGATTATAAAGCCGTAATTAAGTAATAACGTAATAATCATTTTATGATAAAGAATATAACACCACAAACCCAGCAGATAATAGAAGAAAATTTAGCCAATAATAATGTAAGCGTGTATGAAAACCAGTTCACAAATTCCGTAGAAACGATATATTTATAGATAGATACATAAAGTACGTATGTATATACACGTTTAAATGAAGGTGTATCCATGTGCAGGTTGAAAAGTAAAAAAAAACAGTATAAAGAAATTAATTGACTTCATCACATCTTATAGAATAAAAGAATATATATATATACATCGAGGTTGTGTATTTGACAGTATATCTGGGAAAAGATACTATTTTAATGTTAAGTACAGATATAATCATCTCTGAATAAAAATGAAGAGAATTCGTCAAAAATTTTATTTTCTAAGAACTCACTTACTCAAGTTGTACATTCGTATTTATAGTTGTATGGTAAATATATGTCTATAGAAGGCTTTTAAAAAGGAGAACGCAAAACAGTTACCATTTCAATACGGGAACAACTTATGAACTCTGGACGTCACTCTGGAGTCTTCTTTTAAAATAATTTACATAACCAAAGGAACTGGATCGAAAGGATGTCGAATCAAAAAATTATGCACTGCGTAGGCGATCGACCAATTCAAGCCTGAACTCTGCGTGCAAAAATGATACGTTCAACCTATAATCCTTCCTTGGCCCTAATTCCTTTATGTTATGTGTCTTCGTCTTGCTTTTCTTTAAACTACTTCTTTGTAATTTCAAGCTGTAATTAGTTATTATTAGCCTGTGTGTTTCTCGTTTTTTCCCCATACCTGTCAAACGTACAAATATCTTTTATAATTTTGACCCGTAAATTATTTTCATCTTCCTATTCTTCTTTATCCCCTGACTATAAAGTAACCTCATTTGATATTTGGAGCCTCGAATTACTTTATGATGAAATATTTTCTAGCCTTCTATAAACATGTATTTACCACACAATTATAAATACGAATGTACGGCTTCAGTAAATGATTTTATGGAAAATATTTTCTTTGCTGAATTCTCTTTAATTTTATTCGATGACACAATGGTTTATTTTAACTATATCAGCATCGATTCAGTATTAGTTCACCTATAAAACACAACTGATTAGTGAAGTGAATGAAAATAAATGTGTAAATTTATTTCATTTTTGCACGAGAATATGCTACATGAATAAAAAAAGACGTTAATTTTTGTCAAAACGCTTGGTCAGTGTTAGACCTGTCTTTGTCATTTTTCTCTAGAATTCAGGATCGTTGAAAAGTATACAAAACTACTCATTATACTGTTTATCATGCACTTGACAAACCAGATGGATGTAGTATATGTTGACGACAATCAAATGCTATCTATTGATTAGGTACTACATGCAATAATATTCCGTGAGAAGAAACTGTTAGGGTTATTTTTCAAGTTGCGAATTATTACCACTTATTTTGAAAACTGAATTTATCCTCCAGACTAAACAATCATCAGTAAAAAAAAGTGTGAACAAATTATTATTCATTATCATTTTGTTTTTTTGAAGTACTGTCATCTTCCCCCCCTGAAAATTTGTTCTATGATACAAAGTTTTTACACACATCAAAATATAATAAAGAAACAAAGCTATTACTGAAAACGGATTGCTCGAAATTTTATTGAAGATTCTTTATATTATAAATCAGTTTCACATCAAGAAACAGTGAAGTTCACCTAATCTAGAGCAAGAAAGGGAGAATATTGATGACATTTTACAAGGATCGTGCAACAATTAAAAATACCTCAACCATTAAACCATAAATTTACTGTTATAAGAATAGTATATCCACTGCACGATTTAAATACCATTAATTCAACCCTATGTAAGGTGGTTCTAAATTATAGTGAAGTAGTTGTTCATGCGTTTTTTATACTTTAAAAAAATATTCGTCTGATATCAGGTTGTGATGCAAGTGATATGAAAATCATGGTGAATCTTCACAACGCCTATTACCTTAATGACATCTTCCTCATAATAATATGATGTAATATGTCTGTGTGGAATATTTATTTTCAAAACTTGATTATTATACAACATCCTATATGCAACTTTCTGACGACCACCACCTAGCAAGGAACCTAGGTTCAGCGTTTCCTGCCAATTACTTTTCACCACCTAACATCTAAACATCGTGCACTTGGTGTTGAGTTACTTAAACTAGTTAAATATTGTAACTTGGTCGACAGATTCGATTAGCGCTAAGGATCAGGCAAACCTGATATTCTGCACTATTTAGTGATTAACCAATATATTTGTTTGTAAAAACAATACAGCTCATATGTCCTACGTAGTTAATCGAACATATACAGCGCAAGAAAAGTTTGTAGTAAAAACATGTGAAAGAATAGTTGTTTTTCGCTCTTTTCATTAAATGTTTGCACGAAATTATGCAAGAGATAACTCATGGTCAACAAAGATATCAATAAATACCATTTTATTGTAGAATTTAGTACAACTGTGAAATGAAAGAAAGGAGATCTGAGCAAATGTGAGAATTACAGGGGCATCACACTGTTAGAAGAAGAACATTATGGAAACTTCTTCGACACTATGGAGTTCCTGAGAAGATTGTCAACATTATCCAGAACTCATACGACGGGTTACAGTGCAAAGTGGTGCATGATGGACAGTTGACAGATGCACTTCCAGTAAGGACCGGAGTCAGACAAGGCTGTCTACTCTCCGCCTTCCTCTTTCTTCTGGTGATTGACTGGATATTGAAACCTCGATATCTGACGGGAAGCACGGAATACAATGGACAAGTTGGATATGACTAGATAATTAGGACTTCGCAAACGACCTGGCCCTTCTGCCACATACACACCAACAAATGAAGATGAAGACAACTAATGTAACAGCAGCCTCTGCATCAGTATATCTCAACATACACAAAGGAAAAAGCAAGATTCTCAAATACAACACCGGGAACGCCAAGCCAATTATACTTGATGGAGACACTCCGGAATAGGTGGTACGTACCTGGGGAGCATCACTGATAAAAAAGGTAAAGGCGCGGGTCGGCAAAGCAAGGACAGAATTTCTACAATTGAAGAACACATGGAACTCAAAACAACTCTCAACTAACTTCAAAGTGAGAATCTTCAATACGAACGGCAACACAGTCCTACTGTAAGGAGCTGAAACGTGGAGAACTACCACATCCATCGTCAAGAAGGTACAAGTATTTATAAACAGTTGTCTACGCAAAGTACTCAACATTCACTGGCCGGATACTAACAGCAAGAGCGTTTTATGAGGGAGGATAAACCAGCTTCCAGCTTAAGAGGAAATTAGGAAAAGACGTTGGAAGTGCATCGGACAAACATTAAGGAAATCACCGATGTGCATTACAAGGCAATCCCTAACTTGGGATCCTGAAGGAAAGCGGAAAAGAGGAAGACCAAAGAACACATTACACCGGGAAATAGGAGATATGAAAGGATGAATAACAACTGGAAAGGATTGCCCAGGACAGGGTTGGATGGAGAATGCTGGTGTGCGACCTATGCTCTTCCACGAAGGGTAACAGGCTTAAGTAAGTAAAATGAATAGTAAGTAAGTAATATATATAATCCGACAGCAACAGATTAAGTCTGGTGTTTTGTTATAAAATATCCCACATACCTTAACAAGCTCATAAACTCAGTCAAGAAAATCTAAAGAATTTTTATAGCGACATCAAAATTACAGATCATCGTACATAAACATCATATTAGTATAAAAAACTGGATTTTTTTTATTCAACTCTATGAGAAAATACATTCGAAGTGTAATCGAAAATTTTCGGACGTATAACTCGGAGAGAGAGACAGGATAAAAGCTAAAACAGGTGAAGTATATGATTGGACAAAGAAAAAGGTGAAAAACCATCAACTTCCGTAAAGTCTAGAAGATAGCGTAAAATCCGGTACAAAAGCATTTCAGTTCAAGTTGACAATTAAGGTGAAAAGCAAAAGAGTGGAAAATCATTAAGCTAAACGTAGTAGCCAACTGAGATGGAAGAAGAAAAAGTTGTAGTCAACGAATGAAACAGAGGAATCAAATGCATAGACTGATTAAATAGTTAAGAGAAATCACCAATTCATCTGTTCAATTATTATCTATTTCAAACAATCTTAAATAATATCGAAGTGAATCTGAACAGAAAACCAAGGTCACTAAATAATAAATTAATTTGTACTATTTACTACAAACAAATAAAAGAGAAAAATTTGAAGTATCTGAAATGATCAAAGAGTGATAAAACAATGTGGTTTAGGAGTTACTGGAAACATTTGTAATAAAATGCAAGGTTACAGTATCTGAATGGTAAACAAGAGGCATGAGATATATAAAACATATTTAGTAAATGAGCTTCAATCGATCATAATACAGAAACTATACGGAAAGAAGAATCAATACAAAAAGAAAGGAAGAATTACAGATAACCTAGAAAAGTGGAACTATTTGAAATTGTATTCAAATTTAGTTCAATAAAATTACTTGCTGTAATAAATCTGTAAGATAATCGTAATTTATTCTATTTACCTCTACATACTTTACATTTAAAGTTAAAAAATATTAGATTTTCAACCTACGCGAATCATTTCCCATAATCCCAAATTCCTCTCCATTCGATTTAATTTTGTCTGTTTGACCAATACCAGATTGTAAATAAGAATCAACAGGAGTTTGACATGTGGATCCAACTGACATTGATGAAATAGAATCACGTTTAGATAATCCTGGCGAAGGGAAGTTGATAGATGTGTCACCACCCCCGCTGCCTGATATTGAAGAAGTTTCATTCAACCCAGAACTATCTTGACAAGATGAATTAATTGTCTCGTCTAGTGATGCAACAACGTCGTGTGGATTATCAACTGAGTTAGCTGAATGTATATGGAAAAAAATACAAACAACCACATAATAACTACTACAACAAAGAAATAACATAAACTAAACAACGAAAAAATGTAGCAAAAATAGATCAATCCTAAAAACGTTTGGTTAGATTAGCAAAGAGAAGCAGATCCTGGAAGTTGTAAAACGATCTACACAATATAGATCATTTTGTGGAAACTATATCTTCTGATACAATCTTTGTTGAATGAAAGTAGAAGGTTTCTCTTTCCGTTTGTTTCAGATGAACAAAACAATCTTCAAGTAGTCCTAGAGCCAAAAAGACCTGAAGAGAATAAATATTTAATACTGCTAATATATAGAAGAAAATAACGAGATACATTACCCAGTCAAAAGAATAACAGAACAGAGGAAATATTAATTAAGGTAATAATTAAGGTAAATTCTATAATATCATTTATTGGTTTTTAAAGATAATAGAAACGGTATTTTTTGATTACATACTTTTTACCCTTGACCTCAATTTTGCCAGATACATTTGTTTTATTGACGTGATGACAACGATAACAACAACAGTGTGGTATGTGTATTGGATAGACATGAAAAGTGATAGAAGAATGTAAGCAATCCGATTGCTTTTTTAATGCAAACAAAACGATAGGTACGTAGGTGATCAAGGAAATATAATTAGTTTTAATTGTGAAATAATAATACGGAAAACTAATAATCATATTAAGTGTTTCGCTTGATTGCTTGTAAAAGCAGTAAGTTAGAAGTAACTGGTTCAAGGTATTTAATTGTTCGTCCAGTTTACCTTTTACTTCCAAACCAATCGTTGACAGAAATATTGACACATCTACTCAGTGTTTACATTAATTCAGTAAACTGGATAGAATGAAACTCCACTACAACTGATACCAGTGCGACAAAGTGCATGATTCAGCAACGATTCATGAAAGCATTAATTGTTAGATTGAACTGAGTCGATAGACTTAGACTTCTGGTTGAAAGTTTGTGGTTTTAGAACAATGAGATATAAGGATCAAAAATTGATTAAACCATGGGAAAAAGATTATTGTTATGTCTATCTTCCATCGCGGATTCTCTTTCTTTGTGCAGTAATAATTTTGATCAAGATAGTAATTTACGAGAGACTAAACATTGATTAATCATTCAATTCAGTTATGTTCCTTTAGTGCATACAAGTAGAGTACTTCAAAATTACAATATAGATTAGTAGTAAGACACTTTAAATAATTACAACTGGAATAGTTAAAATTACAAACCATTGACACAGATAATTTGTTTTTTTAAGTCTTCATACTGAAATCAGTACAGTGGTAGAATGCATTAACAACAGCACTTGAGTAAAGGGAGATATTGAGAGGATAATCAACACTTTTCATAGTTAATTATTTTAATTATGAATTTATGAATTGTTCACGTCAAACTAAGTTGAGTAGTAACTAACATACAATGCAACTTAATTTGTTTTCTTTTTTAAAAACAACTTATTACATTCATAGCACAATGTATATACCTTCTTCAGTTTGGGCACCTGGGCAGTATCACAGCCTTTACACAAATCAAATGACATTTTTGCGACGCATATATATCTGGTGCCCCCTTGTACCAATATTTATGTGTTTAAATAATAAATATACAATGAGTATATACACAGAAAAGAAATTTCTAAGTGAGAAGTATGGATGTGTATAAAAAGTATTTGATACCCAATTATTCATTGACAAATATAAATATTATAACAACTTGAGAAAAAAAGCGAAATACCATAACGAAAATTAAAAAAAAGAAAACGGAATGTAAAATTAAGCAACACGGAAAGCTTCTGTTAAAATTTGATTAGAAATAATTGGCTATCCATAAAAGTATGTTAATTTAAGAAAAAACAAAACATTTCAAATTTTAACAAAGTTATTAATCACTGAAAATTAGTTTGTTGTTAATGTTAACATTTTAATGTATATTAAGAATATGATGAACTCATATGATTACAGAAATGTCTCCTAGTCTCCTAGATAAATGAACAGTGATTTCAGATAATATAGAATCATAAGTGGCTTTTAAATTCTTTAAAGAAAAACATGACTACACTGAATTAACTAAACGTTTTACACAGCGAGAATCTCAGAAATGTCGAAATCATCTCGAAAGGAGCAATGTATCATTCAAACAGACTACAAAGTTATTAAACTGTATTTCAGATAACTAAATATATATGACTTGTCGTTCTAGAAACTTCACTCTGCTGAATAGCTCTTTAAGTTATACACCAATCTGATAAAGCGAATTTAAACAAAATAGTTAAGGCAGATAATCACAACCAGCGTTGTAAAAACTTCGGAAACATATGTCCTACACAGATGGATTTTAAGTTGTGTTTTTTATTTGTTCTAACCAAATGTTTGATACCAAAAATAACAAAGATTTATCGTGCAATATACTATTAGTGTTGGTAAAATTTCTTCGGTGTTCAAGAAATGTATGTGTCAAATGAACTAAACTGTTCACACAACGCATTTCATTGATTTACTTATGTGCTTCACAAGAGTGAAAACTGCTCAACAGTTTCTGACATTAACCCCGTTCTTGATAAATATGAAATTTTTTAAAAGGGTAAAAAGGTAACACAACGTTATAGTAGAAATAAACATTTACCCAAAATTACCAATAAACACATATGTTAATGTTTTTTAATAAGCAAAAATGAAAATAATTACTGACAACAATAATTATTTAAATACCATTGTTGTTACGATGAAGAAATGAGGGTAAGAGATGAAAATCTTTTAGTGTATTAGCTTTCTTTTGTTTATGACGTGTATCAGAGCCACAACGTCGATGAGTAGTACAACCTGCAATTCAGTGTTAGTAGTAGTATTGAGTTAATTAATGACAATACGCATTTATATTATAGCGGGCATTGTTAATCATTAGTGCACAAATCAATTTTAATTATGATGAAGCAAAGAATGCAAAGAGAAAACAGGATAAAAAGAGATTTTAGTGAATAATTATAAAAACTTAGTGAATATCATATGATATTTGACGTCAGTGACAAGTAAAATTTAACAGAGCAAATCAGTAACAAGTTAACGAGGCTTCGAACAGAAAATGAATGATTACTATAGACAATATATCATGATTGGTCGACAAGAATTAATTGTTAGAAATCACAATTATTCTATGAATCTGTAACACAGTATATTGAAGTGTTACGCTACGATGCCAAATAGTGATGATATCAATAAAATATTTTGTTACACTTTTGAGTTTATGATAAGTGATACGTTCCAAAAACCAGTGGATTTCTTCTAAGTCTATTTCACTGATGGATTCGCGTAAACTCATACCATCAGGCTCTGAACATGACGAAGAGCGTAAACAAATTAGATCTAGGTTAACTAAAAGTCTAAGGAACGATCGTGAGCAGTGGTGGGCAACGAAAGCAAAAGAGATGGAAAAGGCAGCGGCTGTAGGCAACACCAGGCAACTATTCAGACTAATAAAAGAAACTGGAATTAAGAAGTCAAGTGTAAGTGAGACGATCTCGGAAAAAGATGGAACCCTTATCTGCTCTCTACCCAAACGTTTAGAACGATGGGCGGAACACTTTAAGGAGCAGTTTAGCTGGCCTTCAGCTACTGCACAACTACCCACTATTCCTAGAAAACCTGAATGGAACATTGAAGTAGGCCCCCCGACCCTACTTGAAGTTCAAAAGGCTATAGGTAATCTGAAACGAGGAAGAGCAGCTGGTCCTGATGGATTGGCTCCAGAGGTCTTTAAATATGGTGGTCCAATTTTAGCGATTAGGTTGACTAATATTCTGGCTAAAATCTGGGAGACGGATGTAATCCCATCCGACTGGTCACAATCACTGATTGTCCCAATATATAAAAAGGGGTCAAAATCATCCTGCGATAACCATAGAGGGATTAGTCTGACTAACATAGTATCTAAAATACTAGCCTCAATAATTATCAGGCGCCTAACTAAAACTCGTGAACTGCAAACACGAGAAAATCAGGCTGGCTTCAGACCTGGTCGTGTCTGTATCGACCACATATTCACCATTCGTCAAGTTTTAGAGCACAGACATGCTTATCGGCGTCCGACAATGATAGTTTTTCTTGACTTGAAAGCAGCATTTGACTCTGTAGACCGAGAGGTTCTGTGGCAGTGTCTGTCATTGAAAGGTGTACCTGAGAAGTACATAAACCTTGTGAAGGCTCTTTACTCGAACACTATCAGTCGAGTGAGAGCTTATGGCGAACTGTCATCTGATTTTACAACCTCAAGTGGTGTCCGTCAAGGCTGTCCACTATCCCCCTTTTTGTTTAACTTCATTATAGACCTGTTGCTGCAAATGACACTCTCGTCGACTGAGTTTACAGGAATTGATCTCCTACCAGGAGGACCACTAAGCTACTTAGAATACGCAGATGACATAGTCCTGTTTGGTGAAGACGTTGACAAAATGCAGAGTCTTCTGTAGGAACTGAGTAATAATGCCAGGATGTTTGGGATGCGTTTCTCCCCATCCAAATGTAAATTGTTACTCCAGGACTGGCCTGCGTCAACACTCGAACTAAGGATAGGGAGTGAAGTAGTCGAACGCGTGGACAACTTCACTTTTCTTGGAAGTCTGATCAGCCCTAATGGGTTGGTGTCTGACGAAATCTCAGCACGGATTCAAAAAGCTCGTTTGGCTTTTGCCAACTTACGTCACCTATGGCGAAGACGAGATATCCGTCTATCAATTAAGGGACGAGTATACTGCGCAGCAGTTCGTTCTGTTCTACTTTACGGCTGCGAAACATGGCCATTAAGAGTAGAAGATACTCGTAGGTTACTAGTATTTGACCACAGATGCCTTAGAAATATTGCTCGCATCTGCTGGGATCACCGAGTAAGTAATAGTGAGGTTAGACGCAGGGTATTAGGTAACGATGGTAAATCAGTTGATGAGGTGATAAATCTTCATCGACTGAGATGGTTGGGCCATGTGTTACGTATGCCTGAACACCGATTACCACGACGCGCTATGATGACTAGTATTGGGGACGGTTGGAAGAGAGTTAGGGGCGGCCAAACCAAAACATGGCATCAGGGCTTGAAGTCACTAACTTTTAGTTTGAGCCATGTTGGTAGATGCAGACTACCTGGTTGGGGTCCGCGTGACTATCGTAATAAATGGTTGGAGACTCTAGGTGACATGGCTCAGAATCGATCACAATGGCGTAGGTGTATACACTCTTTATCTTCCCTTAAACCTTGAGATTAAAATTGCTTCATAACTTTTTTTCTTCCTATACTACATCCTTCTGTACAATCTTTCTTTATATACTACCACCACTAAATTAATTGCTTCTATGAATCCGGTGTTCATCTTGATGTGCTAAAGAGGTATGGCAACTTGGACCGATGCATAAATGTGCCTGGTCCTACGTTGTAGCTGACTGACTGACTGAAGTGATACGTTAATATATTACGCTAGTTGTTTGCAACTTCAAACACAAGACGATGAATAAAAGTGTTTCTATTCACTTCTTTTTTCTCACTGAAAGAAATGAGAAGCCAACGTCTGTATAGAAGCTTTCCTCGATAGAGACTGTGTATTTTTACACTATACTTCACAATTGAGAACACTGTATGAAACTATGAATAACTGTGACTAAACCTGTATCTTTTATTAATTATGTTTTGTTATGAAACTCCACTGCAGCATGCAGAATGCTTCGAATTATTGGAGATACACTGTTCAACATAATGTTGAACTATTTTAGTTACGTGAATATGATTAAATTTGATGATAAAATCAGTTAGTATTACTTTGGTAAATGTTTCCGTTAAATTTCTCAATCAACCAAACAGGGAGAAAAAAAAGCCACAACGCCTATAAAATTATAAACAACTCACAGTGATGAATAAGATCATTCGAACCAATTTGATTGGAATTTAAGGGTACTTTATTACATGATTCATTCGTTTGGTTCGGTGTATCCATTGTTAGATTCGGTATACTACCAAGTATGCCGCTTAAAACATTTGCAGACGCAACGCCAGTTGTTCTACGTCCTTCTCTACTACAATGATCTCGAATACCGTTTTTACATTTTAAATGTATAAATAGATCACAATCTACAAAGGGAAAGAAAAAAACCCTATTAATCATAGCTGGGTATTAAGAAAACATTAGAAAAACTTATTTTCAACTTCAAAACAACACGAAACTATTAAAATACTGATTTTGAAAAGTATTTATCAAAAGACTAATTTTTGAACGAATATTCTTTTCGATAAATTGTCTTCAGATTCTACAATTACATATTCGAATTAGAAATCCAAAAAAATGGCCAGGTTGAGGGTGAATATATCAATTAGCATATCATCAATAACATATAACATACTAATGAAATAAAAGTTAGTGCACTCTGTATTGACATATACTCTATCCGATAAGTTCAAATAATTTGCAATGCATCAAGTTGATTGATCACTGAGTAGTAACCAGAGTCATGTTTATCTAGTCCCTTAATGCTGAACTAGTATAGTCAACCAATTTATAATATGATTACTAGTCTAAGTGACGCAACACTGAGCGCATTATATTTTGCAGTTAGGCGATTAAGGATAGTCATCAGGGAACGCTGGACACAAGTTTTGTGCCATTCGACAATCATCAGCAAGACAAACTTTCTGTCTTTAGGAAACTAGTGCTCTCTGTAAGATCAGAATTCAAATCAATACAGTTTCATAATTAAAAATGTTACCCTTGAGTTATTCGGGTAGCGGTTGATCCACTGTACGATTGTGACACAAAGCGATTGATCACTGAGTAGTAATTAGTAACACGCATGCCTTGTTGATGAGTACAAAGTAGCATGATACCTAGGTGCCCGGTTTTCTGTCGACTATCTACAATCAACAAATGTCCGTTCGTAGAAGTAGACGAATACAACTTACATAAACTTTAATTGTAGTACAGCCATATTTGACGCGTAAACAATTGAACTTACTATTACAACTGAAACCTTGTGAACTGAGTCCCCATAATAGAAATCCACACACACCACAATCAGCGATACGTTCGTAAGTGTACTCATAAAATGAGTGACCTTTGTGAGACCACTTAAATCGTATTGGGTTTTTCCAGAAAAAAAGCACATACATAACATTTAGTAAGAAATAATTCAAATAATAATTTGATAAATAATAAGAAAATTATTAGACAATAACAAAATGTTCGATAATGTTAACTAAATATCAATATTTTTAGTTATTATGATGGTCATACTGTTTCCTACGTTATAATCTTGTTCATAGGTAAATCATTTCGACATAATTTAAACTTTATTCTTCAAAAAAACTCTTAGTATTAAAAAAATTGATTAAACATGGACAAATGAGACATTTTGACAACCACAACAACAACAGTTTTTTAACTCCAGTAAAATATCCCTTAGTAATTGATTTGTTATTATTTATTCACTATCTAATCAGAGAAGAAAACACTGTTAAAATTGAAGTGTTTTTTAGACAAGTTAATGAATTCTGTCTATTACGGACAAAATTTTTATCAGTTTTAATCATAGTGAAGTAACGGTAGTTTTGTTCCTACTACAGTTTTACAGGACTCATTCATTTAAAAATGACGAATAATTTGTAGTTTTCGTTTAAATCATAAACATTATGACATGGTCAAATTTAAAAATGTAAGGCAGGTATTCAGAGTGAAATGCGTAGAGGATAATTTAACACTAAAGAGTTATTAAGAACTAGATTATGGTTGCATCAACATCAGTGTACATACATGACTGTATGCGGAAACAAATCTTAAATCTTCAGATCTAGCAATTAAGAAGTTACCATTTAGACTAGAAACTAGCGATCCGAATTCACAGATACTCAATTCGCTATTGATACAAACCAATTACGATACAAATATCTGTCACCAACAGATGTATTCAATTTTAACTTAATTAATCATAGCTTTTTATTATAAATTTAGATTATTCATTTCAAATCAAATTAATAAATCGTTTTCTAGTGGTTACTAAATAACATTTAGGAGACTCCAACGTATACGACAAGAATCAATCGAGACTTTCAACAGATGGTGTTTTTTCGTTTTTATGCATATGTATTGAATGTTGTATCGATAAACAGAGAATCAACTAAATATATTTAGCTCACAACTACCTATCTTGAGTTGAAACTCTAAAGTGACTGTGTATGTATTCAGTGAATAAAGATGAGTTCTAGGACAAATTAACAGTCTAGAATGAATATATTACTGTAAACATTTGACTAGTTCTCATATTACACTGTGAATACTTAGTTACGGTATGATTTTTCTTTAAAACCATGTATTCGTATATAATGTCCTGACAAAGTGATCTCACTAATCTTATCGATTAAAAAAAGGATCATATTTTACAATGTAATTCATTTCCAAGTTTTAAAAAATTGGTTTTATGTTTGATATCAGAGAATGTTATACAATCTATCTACAATGAATTGAAATACATGAAACTGAACATCAAGACTTTGTTCTGTTTTAGGGTAATAAAGTTAGTGGAGAAGAGAAGCCAGAGACTCCGTCAGTTATAATAATAATAATAATAATAATAATAATAATAATAATAATAATAATAATAAACGTTTGTAATAACCGCTATGTTACTCACTTTACTTTTACGATTGAGCAAAGAATGCGATTTTTGTTTTGATTTAGCACAATATGGAGTTAATTTTGTCCATAAATGTGAACCAGCAGATGACAGTCCACTTCCAATGCTACCTGATACACTACCTAAACCCAATGCTGATGTAGTTAAATTTTCAAAAGACCTGATTTTGTTAAAAAAAACGAAAAAAAAAAACATCTTCAACAGTTCATGGGTAAAATATATAGAACTAAGAGAATTAAAATCAGATGATTTTTAAAACATTTAGTTGAATATAATTGACAGGAAAACCTGGACTAATGTTTCATTTTAGTTACAACTTATCAGAGAGATATGTGGGAAATCTAAAGAAAAATAGAGCCATTGGATGGATTCGAACATATGTTGCTCAATTCTACAGTCTAAGACATGATCAATAAGTTATCTAGGCTGCGACTGACTTTGTCATATAGGACTGAGATAGTAACATTGATTGGTCTTGGAGTAGAAGCTGACGTCGCATTTTCGGATCGAATTCCATAGATCTAAAACTCTAACAATAAAATACAGAAAAAGTGACGTTGAGTCGCTCAAGCTAATAGCCATATTGTAATTTAATGGACAGAATTCAACCAGTACTAAAAGACCAGGCAAACAAGGCACTGTTCACTGATCAACAGATGAAAATAGTTGATCAATATTTTCTTAGGAGCTAACATCAGTTTGTAGTTGAAATTTTATTTAGAATAGAATAATTTCATTTCTAGTTTGGCTTCTATTTGTGAATAAAGTTAGCAAATAAGGAGTGTCATAGTATGAAAATCAAATGGTCAGTTTCTACATCTTTACTTTTCTCACACTAGAAGACAATATAACTTTACAAATAAAAACAAGGCGCATCTGCATTCTTTTCGATTGTTTCAAGGTTGTTATTCAGAATTGATGAAACCAACCGACGTTCCAACACTGACGTTACCTATTCTTTTAAATGTAATCTCTACGATAACAGAGTGAATTAATTTCATGAATAATTTTTTCCACGCTTACTCGAGATATGAAACAAAACTATCGAGTATTTTCTAAGACGCCAATTATTGACAAAACAGTAAGGAAAGATGATAGTGACATGAGCGTTTTTTTAAATGTGAAAGACAGTTTGAAAAATAAGAGTAGTACTACAGTGTCATCATATCAGATTTTTCTCTGCAATACCTATAAAATTCACAAGTTGAGTTTAAAAGTACAAATATTCTTATGAGAAGTTAATTGGGGAGGAGTAAAAAGATTGTTGACCTTTCGCTGTACATTATAATATTTAAAGAGCTCAATTAGGTTTGTATGCTAGTAGAAGTGAAGAAGACTAAGGACGAAATCCCGATTGATTCATATATATGGAAGATTATACCAGTTGCGTGCCATTCACGTAACATAGATAACATAGCATGGGCTTTAAACCACTTGAAATTGTTTAGCCGAGAAAAAGAAATGACTGTAAATCGGAGACCCGTTTTGTACACTTTTCTCAATTAAATTCCATATTGGAAATACAAAATCATCGTGTTTACAGGGTATTCTAATCAAAATATTTACGAATTTTTCTTTAGGTTGATAAGTCACGCGTAAAAACAAACAGATCATAAATGTTATTGGTAGTTGTAAACTCAACTTTTTTATTTTACGGTGGGCACTAGTAACATACCTTGCAAAAAGACTATGTCTAATAGAATGTCCAGAATCTCTAGTTTCAGGATAATCTGCACTTGATATCTGAGACATGGAATAATGCCGGTGAGCTGTAACCAAACAAGTAGTAATTGCCTGGGTGATTTGATCATATGTAACTGATCCAGATGTGTTTGGCAATCGACATATGCTAAGAGCAATTGGATTATCTATACAACTTCCGGTAGACAGTTGATGCAACGCATCAAGGTAACTACTTAGACGCGATTCGAAACATGCTAATTCTTCTTCTTTATTACGAAACAGAACGAAATCAATTGGCTCAGAAAGACACCATGTATCCATACCTGGTTAAAAGGAAAAAAATGGTACAAGGATATAGACACTAATTTTGAAATGATAGATAAAGGTGAGTAATATGAATGAAGTATAACAAACTAAAGAGTGGAGGTTAGAAGCTGGATTTTCACTACATTCAAACTGTGCATCGGTGGCTAGGTAGAAGAAAGTAACAGAGTTTCCAAACTAAAATATGAAAAATGTCCACGATGACATTGACTAGTGGCTTAACGTATACTGGTAAATGCAAAATACCTGGTGAGGGTCTATGCGATAATTACACTAGATAATTAGAATTCGGGATCGATCATAGTGGCATAGAACCATCCACTCTTCTGTTTACCATTCCTCCATACAAACCACTTAAATCTGCATTTTCGTAACATATTCTCAACACATAACCTTTGTTCGTATCACTGCTACTACAGTTATTTTCACTCCATTGCTATTCACGCTACTAAGTTTCATCTAGTCAAGCTGATACGGTACAGCAGCTTTGACCAATCCATATTTTCCCCAGTATCTAAGTCGATTATAAGTGACTGAAAAACCTTTAGGGTTACGATACTGTTCACTATTAGCAAAGTGAGTATAGTTCAGATCGTCCAAAAGTAACTAAATTTATAGTGAATTAGACTATATTAATTAAAGAAAAGTGTTATGTAGTAGTGAAGACATAAGTACGGGTAACTTGCAGGACCTACTATTGGACTATCATTCTTATTGTATGACTATTCGGTAACTAGATTATCTAAGCTTTATTTTGACCTATTGATTATTACTATGTGATTTACTGTCCCTATGTTATACTCAGTTTTATTGATTATTGTCTCCCACGCTTACAGCCTCATTTGGCCTGGTTTTGTACAAATATTATTTTCTATTTTATGGTGTGGTGTGGTCTGCCTGTCTGGTATATAGATAAAGTATGTTTGAAATAAACGATTCGCATTACAGCAGCTGCTATTGGTGTTTTGGACTCAAGTGAACGGGTTAGGCGGATAAGGACCAATAAGGACGCTTGATTACCCATACTAGTCGAACGTCATTGTCACAGTGTGAAGGTCGTAGAAGTCGTATTCTATTGGTGGACAATTTACGCGAATTACGTCCTTGTTAAATTCGTAAGGTCATAACGAATCAGCGACGACCTTGATCAAGTCATAACAATTGGCTAGCGCCTAGGTCAAAAACATAACGAATTGGCGACAGCTAGGTCAAGTCATAACAAAAAGATAACAATAGTTCGTCTAATCTATAGTAGAGAAAATATCATATAAACAGTGAAGTATCAATTTTAAAGTCGAGCAAAAGTGTATGTAACATATTGCCAACCACCGACAGATATCATTTATGAACCTCAACTGAGAATAATAATAGGTGCACACAAAAAGGACAACTGATTTGATAGGCAAATCATATTCAAGTGAGACGGTGAAATATAAGATTTACCCAGATTAATTGCCTCAGCTAATTTAGAAACTTGTACTTCAATCTGATTCAAACACTGCTGATCAATAAAATTGAACAACTTTGAGCATTCATTAAAATCAAATGACTTCAACACAATGGGAGTTCGTACATCTAAGCGCAAGGGCTAAAATGAAGTGAAACAGGAATAAATGAAAAAGAAAATTTACTAATCTTATATAAATTTGTTACCGAACAGTATAATGCAATATTTGTTTATCGTTTCATTAATTAATATGCAAGAATTTGAGTGGTGGGCACTACTTGTGCAGACGGATATAAGTAACATGTAGCAGGAATTGGATGTAAAATGCTTACCAGCATAAGAGTGAAATGAAGAGAAGAGGAAGGAAAACATAAAGCAATCAGAATAACGACAGGATTGGAGTATGTAAAGGACAGCTCAAGGAAGATATGCAAATGATGTATTTAATGTATGATTTTCATATTTTACAAAGGCACTGTATAATTTTGCATAAAACAATACATTGGTTTACCGTACATGAGCTTTCGTTCACTACACTTCTACTAGTACATGAGATGCAAAAATCACCAAGACATAGTTTCAGGTTTACATCAATGGATTTATGGTGCTAAACATTTAATTTTATAGTACGTTGAACGGTAATTAGTATTATTGTATTCACGTTGAATTCTTTGTTGCTTCAGTCGGTCACTAAGTTGATTAACTTGTTTCTTATCTCACCTACAACTATCTATCTGTACAACAAACAGTTAAGATAGGTTTTTGAAATGTAATTAAAATCATAAAAATAAGTAGAACGGGACACAAAGTGTATGAATAAATATAGTTAAGATCAATGTGTATTTATGTTTGAAAGTAATAATACAGAGTGGAACATGTGTTGTAGTTACCAGAAATCATAATCACGATAGAGTATATAAGGGTAGTGGAAACTGATAAGTGATTGGGTAATCGCTCAACATGATAAAATAAAGAAATGTGTGATCAATATGACTATGTAAAAGAATGAATATCAGAAGACGAGAGAATAATAAAAATGTTGGGGAAAGGGTTGAAAGAAAGTGGAAGTTGAAATTATTTGACTGGAGAAGAAAGAAGGCTATTCAGCTGAATAGGTCTCTTTCGTTACGCACATTTATTTGTTGTTATAACCTAAAGTATTCACGAAAATAAAAATTAGTTAAGGTTATTAAATAGACATCCAATAACCATGCCGAGGAAATCACACTTTCCGTCTGCATACATCGATCAGGTCGGCAGACGTTTGATAGCTCTGCAAAACGGAGTAAGATTCATGTTTTTTGTCTGTTAATTATTTTTCTTATTAAATCGTCAGTGTTTTCCTGATGATAGTTGAATATAATTTGTCTTTGAAGAAGAAAAAAAATTACGATCAGCATCGAAAATTTCGAATGAAATCTAGATTGACTAAAATACGATAAATTTATTTCAGAACCATTAATTTCTAAACGATGGATAAAAAGAGTTATTTGACATGGAATCAATAAATTAAGTATTGACCGATGATATATCTAGTGAAATAATTTTCTAAAGCACAACCGAAGGTTGGCAGTGATATCAACGACAAAAATAAACGAAGTTATTCGCTGGTGACTAGCATATTTGATAAAAAAAGTTAATTCATGATCAAATAACAAATAACAGTAATAATCATAATGATAATAATCTCATGGTTTACATACTCAAAGACATCGTGACTTACAGACTTCTCATGTAGAAACGTTGTAAATATCTCCAGACAAACACGTTTTTCATCCTTAAACAATTCTTTTGATGAAGCCATTGATTGTTGAAAGTATTGGTTGACAATGTGGAAAAGCTAGAAGAATAGAAGATATATATATATGTATATATATATATATATATATATAGAGAGAGAGAGAGAAAGAATTACTTTTATGACGATTTCATAATATATCCATTGATACCTTTCAAAGAAACGAAAGCTCTAAACAAAAAATTGATTACTCAGATGTAACTAATCAATGCACTGTTAGCAGAGATGGATAGTGGCTAGCAGTGGAATCCAGGACGCGCGTTTCGTCCTATTTGGGACTCGTCAGCTGGATGTACCTGCATCTGAGAGTTGATGTTCACTCTGGGACTCGAACCCAGTACCCTCGCTTCAAACGCCATCGCGTTATCCACTCGGTCACTGAGTCCTCATAGCCACTTGCTTGTGCGATGGGGTGAAGTTTAAATTCAACTTAGTATTGTTTGTTTGAATCTTCCCATCGATTTGTTAGGACTGCAACTGGTCAGTCTCTAGCCACTATCCATCTCTGCTAACCATGCTTGTGAATTAAGGTATATCGAGGCAATACGCACAGTATGCACATATGCCAATTAGAGACTGACCAGTTGCAGTCCTAACAAATCGATGGGAAGATTCAAACAAACAATACTAAGTTGAATATAATCAATGCACTGTTTAAAAAAAATTTGGTTAGAAAATTTTGAAAAAAATGCCGCAGAGAACTCAAGTCTTAAACCGATGAGTTATAATAAAGGTATAGCCTTGAGAAAATGTGAGTTGGCTCACATCGCTATATCATATCAACAAAAAGAGATAATACTAATAAAATAGATAGTTAAGGAAACGAAATAACATAGTAGCAAAGATAATAAGAAAAACTGAACATTGACGGTATGAAATGAAAAAATAGAGTGGAAAAGTACGTACGAAAGGATGGTGGAATTTAACAGCGAGAGAAAGATAAAGAGTAAATCTAACTAAGTTAGTGAATTATATTGTTTAGAATTGCTCACAAAGTCCATAAACAGTGATCGTAGTTATCACACGAATGATTCTGATAACGTAATCTGCATAGCTCAATCCAACAATCAATGACTTCATGAACTGATTACATATCTTGGTTTGATCGTTCCTAGCTTCCTACTAAAATATATGTACGACAGACGACAATGCGCTTCGAGGTAAATGGTGGTCGGGCAAATGCAATAAATCCTTACCACCCCAGTCAATCAATATTCATAACCACATCAACAGATTTCCCATCTTTACGTAGTAGTTTGGGTCTAATCCTGGAATCGCTCACTCAATAAATCAAACACACTCGAAGGCACTTACGATCAGATAATAGTAACTTACAGATGTCCTATATTTTTAAAGTTCAGTATTCAGAGCCAAAACAAACTCCTACTCAGTATATTAGTCCTATGTTTCAGAAATGAACATTCACTAGCATCACAAGTGGTTCAAGTTAGCAAAAGTGAAGGAACATTTTTGAACTCTCACTGAGATTATTCATACACCAAAAACGCTTTTCCTGTAGTCAGTTACAGCGTTTTTACATACGACGATTGCTGTGAAAAGCCTTCATTCTGAAATAATTCTATGAACGGCGACTGGGATCCATAAAACAATGAGTTTAGGAATTTCGGTATGAAAATCATTCGTTCACTGTAGTGTAGTAAGGCTGCATGATTATTTATGTAAATCACACTGATATTACAACCACTTATAGGCAAATGTATGCCTTTATTGTCGGGTGGATAACTATCGAATATTAATCAAACTACTTACACAACAAGCACACTATTAACCGACTTCTCTGGCGTGGTAAGATATTGAGCAACAAGTGCCACAATCAGTGTGACTCAGGTCACTGTGATAAGCTAGCACAAACATCTTAAGGTAGCAACTATCGTATAGTAAAATAAAAAATTAATTGATGAGTTTAAATATACAAAATAACAGTTAACAATAAGTTAACTAAAATGATGAAAATCTGTACTTACCGTCCATGTAGGATCTCTTTTATGAGAAAACAAGTAATCAATAAACATAGCGCACTTAGCCGGGCTATTCAATACTGACGTTGCGCTGTCGAATTCTGACGATAAGTGAGCAAGATCATTTGCATTACTAAGCTGAAAATAAGAAAATATAATGCACAAAATAAATGGTGAAGTATTGAAACTGCAACCAGCTATTGCTTCACAGAATGATGTTTGCAATAATTTATCAGAAAAAAAGTAATTTAACGTGAAGATTTAAGAGTAAAAATTGCCAGTTATTGATATCACTAAAGAACTTGGTTAAGTTGAAGATAGTTGTATCCAAAAATCAAGTTATCTAAATACGAACAAGATTCACTGGCTAAATAATTACCTGAATACTTTTTAACTTTTATGATACAGTGCTATATCTACATGTCCGACTTTTTTTTCAGCAGTCAATTTCATAAATTTCTTAGAACGTTTAAAGAGTATGAATTTAATAACTTAAACAGTTATTGAGCAGAAACATTTGAACAATAAATAAGTTTATATCTCCAAACAGACCTGGTTGAACTCCACTGGTTACTGCTTGGCACTAGAACTCCAGGAAATACCTCATGTAGCCAGTCACTAGTGAGCATATGATCATTATCAAAAGGGGGTTTTGTGGAGATTTTAGTAATTTTATATAATTGAAATAATGAATCAGTTGAAGCTAGATCACCATCGAAAACCTGGAGGCACTGGATGACCGTTTCGTCTCATTGTGGGACTCCTCAGAAGTGCACATCCACCATCCCGCCTCGCGAGATTCGATCCCAGGACCTATCAGTCTCGCACGCGAGCGCTTAACCACTAGACCACTAAGCCGGCATCTGACGGTGCTAATGTCTAACTGATAGATCCTGGGTTCGAATCTCGCGAGGCGAGATTGTGGATGCCCACTGCTGAAGAGTCCCAAAATAAGACAAAACGATCGTCCAGTGCTTCCAGGTTTTCGATGGTGGTCTAGCTTCAAATGACTCATGATTTCAACTATATAAAATAAATAACTACTACTTAGTTTGTGTCTACCTCAGGAAAAAAGCGTTTATGTATGGTCGATTTCAAAGTAAAATATAATTTGATAGAATTAAGAGATAAAATAACCTAGTTGATTTCCAGCACCTTGAATTCCACTCCACATACACTCCTCACACTGTGTAATTCACTTTGATAAGTAATTTGTTACAAAAATCCATTTACTTAATACGACAAATAAAATAAACAAAATAGGCAATCTCTAGCAAGTGTTGAAGCAGATAAGTTTTTATGAATAAAAATAAAAAGATTTCACATTATTACATAGTATTTAAGATAAAATATTAATCAAATAAATATATGATAAATACACTGAACGACCAGCAAATATTCCAAGGAAGATTCTTTGATAGTCAAAATACAAAGTACATATAATGGCCAAAATTATAATAAATATCAAAAACATTCCATAATAATCGATTATTTCTATAGTACGAATAATAATAATAATTATTATCATTATTATTCAATTCATTCTAATTGAAACCAGAACATTGATTAGATCAAAACAGAATTTCAAATAAATAATGCACGAGACGAAAGTACAACAATCACATGTAAAATACAGTTAACGTACAGACTATGCGCACATATGCACACCTCACCCCCTCCATATATATATATATATATATATATATATATATATATATATAGAGAGAGAGAGAGAGAGAGAGGCAAACGGATATCACATAAACAAATTTTTGATACTCCACGAAATATATCATGAATGGATTGTAATTTGTAAATATCTTAAAACCGTAACGCAAATACTGATTATATATATATATATATTGCATATATTTGTACATTGGCAAATACACATATTATCACAGAGTATCTAATTTCGACATTCAACATATTCCAATCCATGGAATAGAAAAAATAAAACCATTTCTCTTTGCTAAATCAATATAAATTAAGATTCGTTATGCTAAATAAATAAATGTTTCGTGCAAGACAATATATATATATATATATATATATATATATATATATATATATATATATATATATATATATATATAGTTATTTATCTATCTATATTTTGGTCAGAAATTAGACTACAACAAATTCATTAAGATGATCAGAAAATATTGATTGGTGATAAATTAAAATAAGATTAATATTGAACTAATGAATTATTCTAATAATTTATTAGAAACAATTTATTGTTCAATTGGGAACATACTAATGTTGGCAGAGTTCGATTATAAAAGTTAATTGTAGGATGTAAATTGTTGATCATAAGGTTAAAAATATAAATAAAACAAAAGAAAGATAAATATTTTGACAAAAGAAAACGAAAGGGATAGATAACTTTGAAACAGCATAATTATGATAATAAATAGAATAAATTCGATTGGAAAATGTTTGCATTTTTTAAAATAAGATCAACAATGTTAACAATTGTACTATAAAGTCTATTATTAAACACTTAGATTATTGATTCAATCTAAGCTAGACCACCATTGAAAACCTGGAAGCACTGGACGGCCGTTTCGTCCTAGTGTGGGACTCCTCAGCACTGTGCATTCCTATACTGACAAAATATTAAATAAGCAATGAATGATATTATTTAAATAGTACTAAAAGAACAAAAAACTTATTGGAGTTACATTATGAAATGTATAAATGGGAATGCTTGTAGTGAACTCTACAAGATAATATAAATAACTGAAAATGCGTATAATATAGTTGTGTCGTCCAATGACGTGAATTCAAATACAAGATTCGAAATAAATGTTAAGTGCTACACCAATAATGTAGAATTATATTTTACTTAGATGATATCTTCAAATGAGAAGTATTTTTGAGGAAAACTTATAAGCCTTTAAAATGTATGAAATTACAATTACTCGACAATCAATTAGCATTAACAACACGCATTTATTCATTCCCCTATTATATGATTCATTTAGTTTAACATTTATCGGATCTTTAAATAGTTCATGGTCTTTCTAAAGTTATTTTATTATTATTAGGTTGATAATATTATTTAGGTAATTTTGTGCATATATACAAGTTTATATTGGAGATAAACACTAGTGATGTGCAATCTGAAATAAGTTGATCGTACAATAAATTAAAGTGATACAAATCAGGAATAGGTTACATTCTATTTCCTTAATCCTTTTCAAATTAGTACGGTATAAATAAAACTGTAGGTACAGAAGTATTGTACACAGTGTAATGTATAAATATAATAATAATAATCACGAAATCGGAGCACATAAGAAATTAGTTCAATTTGCTAAATTTATCATTTCTCAGAAAAAAAAGAGATAGAGAATGGATGAATCTACGAAAACATTGTATAGGAAGGAAATAGTATAGAAGAGGAGTGAAATACTACATATATGGTACTGACCAAATTAATTTCAATGAATAGCAAAGTGTTACTAATTATATCTCTTACAACTAATGAACGACATAAAGGTTACGATAAGTTATAATAATCGAATACGTGATTATATACTTGGTTTTAAGTCATAATTTTCTTTGTGTATGTAGAATAGCAGCCCTACCCTATTGCTCACATCAAAGTGAGTGGATCACGGTTTGAACTTACAACTTACTGTTCCAGTGCCTCGTTATTAAATCAAAAGTTGCTTCATCCATGACTAACCAATTATTACTGAACAAAATTACATGACACTGATTATTATCCAGAGACCAACGAGTGCACAGATGTTTCACAATACACAAGTAACACTCTAAGAGTACTATTAAACAATAAGGTAGAACAAATTCACGTCATTCATATCTAAACATTAGTTCAACTGTCAACGCAATCATCAGTATATATATATATATATATATATATATCTTAAAAAGGTGAGAGATGAAAGGAAATTATTGATTGACAATTACTTTTTCTGTAAACGGCGTTATCATAGTTTAGTGATAATATATAAATATGTACCTTAAAAATCGTTAAGAAAAACTTGAACGCAGTGTTGATATGTGAATAATTTACAACTGAATACCAAATATATATTTAAAATAATATTTAATCTATAAATAAATATAATCTATCTTAAGATAGTACGAAAGACAAAAATTACTGACAATCCACTTATCATATAGAAAACGATGATGAATGACGTAAAGAAATGAGTACACTAGAAAAGGTTCAACTGAATGGCACTTTCAACATTTAATTAAAAAACAAAAACAAAAAAAATAAACTTATGTGATTAAAGATTATGATTATGATAAGATAAATGAAATTGTAATGACAAAAATTAATCCACTAGAGCTTAACTATAAAACAAACCAATCTAGATTAGATATATGTGTATAGGGCTAAAAGTAAGAGAGTAAACAAATGGGGAAAAACAACAGATTTAAATATTAAACTAAAGGTCATTATTGTTGTCATTATTAGTACTATTGACAATCTTGAACATTTTGGTCGTACTCAAGGCATTGTGATGTAAGCTATTGATGTCTACAAATATAAGTAGTATGTGTCACCAGTCGAAAGTGGAATGCCTAATGGCAGAAGGTTGGTGAGATCGAAGAGAAGAGAACGAGAACAGACAGTGATTGGTATGGAAATAAAAGAACAATAAAGTCTGAGATAATTGATTGACATTGTGCAAATGAAGTATTTATTGTTTAGCTCTCATATCTTACTGAGAGATTTTGTTTTTCTTTTCAAATACACTTCGTTGTCCCCATTAGTGTTCTCGATCACTACATCGATTGTCGATCAACCCTAGTTTTATAATGGCTTATCGAGACTATTGTGTGAAGAAAGAAAGCAGAAATTTTTCTTGTTAAACTTGCAACTGTAAAGTATAGAAATATCTAACAATGTTTACTACTGGTGCTTATAATTGTTATTTTTCTGGTTAGTGTTTTTTTAGCGAGTTAGTTTTTTACAGCATGGCTATCAGAAAAATCAAGAGCGACAAAGCAGCAGGAACAGACAACATTCCGGCAGAGGCACTGAAAGCAAATGTAGGATGAAGAACAAGTACCAAAAGATTGGAAAGGACTTCTGATCAAGATGCTAAAGAAAGGCGATCTCAGCAAGTGTGATTATGAAGAGGGAAGCACGGGATACAGTGGACAGCTAGGATGCAGCTGGACGATATAGACTTCGCAGATGATCTGGATCTTCTATCACACACGCAATAACAAATGCAGAAGACAGCCAGTGTAGCAACAGTAGGTCTCAATATACACAAAGGGAAAAGCAAGATTCTCCGATACAATACTCAAAGGAGAAGAGGAAGACCAAAGAACACATTACGCCGAGAAATGGAGACAGACATGAGAAGAATGAACAAAAAATGGATAGAACTAGAAAGGAAGGCTGAGGATAGAGTGGGTTGGAGAATGCTGATCGGCGGCCTATGCTTCATTGGGGGTAACAGGCGTAAATGAGTAAGTTATAATTGCTATGCAGTTGTGTATATTGTACCATAACGATATTGTATTCGTTTGCGTAAGAATGGTTTGAATAATGAAATTATTGCTTTTATCACTGTTCTTGATCGTTTGTTTCCGTGAAAGCTGAGTATCACCAATTATTCTAAGCTTCAATATTCTTCATTTAACCATAGCAAATGACAAGATGATTTCACAATAGCTAATTATTTTATTTCAAACAATGAGTACTTTTCTCATGAAAGTTACATTTGTGATTGTATTTACCGAATTATTGTAGTCTCAGTTAGGAAATCAACATTTGGTTTGCATTAATTGTTTAATTAGTTCATAGCGTAAATCTAACTTATGTATGAGATAAAAGATTTGTATTATCCGTTTTGAGATATATACTTTGGTGTAAGAGCAACTAGTTATATTTGGATGGTCAAACTGGTTATGCAGATAGATGAAACAAGTTTCTAACCTGCGGCCAAGTAGTTAAAATAAACACACGAGCTGTAACCACTAAACTATCCATAATTTATCTTCGTTTGAGATCATTAGAAAATGTAATACAAATAATTTTAATAGGATTATAAATAGATAGAAAAACCATGAATACGATATAATCCAAAGCATAGACTGAAAGAAAAGAATGAGGAGTTAAAAGATGTTACAACACAATCAATTGCAAAGTGGATTATAGTTTAAAGTGTGGATAGCAAAACTTACATCACTTTCACCTTCATCGTCGAAATTCCTACCCATTACATGGCCAAGAGGTGGTGTACTACTAGAAAACTAAAATTATAAGAAGGAACAGAATGAAACAACGAAGAACAAAACACACTATTGTTTACAATGAATAGAAACTATCTAGCCTCATTACAAATAGTACTATATGTTGTTTAGCCTTGAAAAATGGTTAGTGAGAATTAATAAACTGTTCTTTTTACAGAAAAAAGCTGTGTTTGTCAGTTTTTTAATTAATCAAACCTATTGATTACCGATGACAGTTGAAATGAGAACACTGACACAGTATTTTATCATTAAATTCGATACGAAACATATATTGTCGAGAGAGAATCCGCAGTTAATGGCTAATCAGTGAATAGGATAATCGAGGAAAAACGGTTGAAAAATTTACCGAGAAAACAAATCAAAATATTCCTACCATTTATTTATTTAACTCTCCAGCTACGTTATGCCATAATTTACACATGTAATGCTAGGTTCTATCCCGTTACTCCTTGTTTGCTTTATTTAGTTATATAATTCACTGACTGCCATGAAACTGGAAAAAACTGGAAATAACTTCGAGACCAGTGAACAGTCTAGTGACGAAAACATCAAGTCATTGGTGCTAGTTTATGCTATACAAACAATAATCACATGTTAGTGTTAGGGTTTCTAGTTAAGCGCTAAAAGCCAATTAAAACAGAAATCACAAATTCCCAAACAGTCCAATTTATTAAACAGACATATTCATTTACCTTTAACTAAAAGTTGTTTACAATGCTTATTTTTATACGAATATTCGTCAAGATTAGAACGAATAGTTTGACAATAATTGGGCGCCGAGTATAGAGAATTCATTATATGTGAAAAAATTATATTTGAAATAGTCTCAGCGATTGAAATTTAAATAATTCCAACGTTTCGTCAAGCTAACTTGTCTGGACTTCTTCAGGGAAATAATCAAAATCATCAAAGAAATATATAGTGTTTTTACAATCATATCAAAATCTCTACTACTTTTTAATCCAATCATATTTGGATGTCGAAGTTTTTGTACAACAGGATAATATGAGTCAGTTGAATGAGAATCAAGTGAAAAAGTTCAACGATGTGAATTAAAGGAGACTGCATAAATTGTGTGTATGTATGTATGTGTAAGATGAGTTATTAATGATGAATGATATTCAGTGTTGATATGTTTCTATGTGAAGTAAAATAGGAATAAACGTGCATAATGAAGGTTGAAAAGTTTTTCTCCTTTCTGAATCATCGAAGTTGCAAATAAAATGAGAATCATCAAGTACATAAATTGTAATGTTAAACATAACTCATATTGATTTCAGTCATAATAACGATTCATGTGAAGTAAACAGGTTGAATAAAAGAAAAAGGTCAAATTACTTGTTGATGAATATTTGCCAAGTGGTAGCTAGCTGAATACCATCCTTTCTGTTTAGGCTGTTCTTATTCGTCCATATATACAGCGCTTCTGCTGTCAATCTTTCTTTGTGAGTGTTGAAACCTTTCTGAAGTATTTTGGCCCCTTCAAAATTAATCATGTGTCCCGTTTCCAACGCATGTAACGCTATTGCAGATTTATTCTCAAGTTTCTTTAAGTCAACCGAGGTTTTGGGAACGTTTTTTAAACACTGTTTGTGTTCCTTCAACCTTACCTTCAATTGTCTGGATGTTTCTCCAATATAAGCCGCATTACAATCATGACAATTGATCTCATAGACAATATTTTGTTGTTCTTCCTTTGGTAACCTATCCTTAACCTTCACCAATGACGATCTTATAGTGTTACATGTTCTAAAATACACTCTTATATCATGTTTGTTTAAAATCCGTTTGATTTCCTCCGATGTTTCGCTACGGTATGGTATGACTACAGTGGACTTCCAATCTTTCTGTACATGTTGCAGTTTAGCTTTTCTTTCCTTTCTAACAATCTTCTTTAAAAACTCTTTTGGGTAGTTGTTATCCCTAAGTGTAGCTAAAATCCTATTCAATTCAAATTGTTGGTCTTCTTCATCTGTAACAAGCTTCAGACTTCTGTTAATTAAATTTTTAACAACTGTGACTTTCGTACATAAAGCATGCGCCGAATCAAAATCTAAGTATCTATCTGAATGTGTTGATTTTTTGAAAACATTTATTTTCAACTTCCTATTATTAAGTCTTCGTTCAACCATACAGTCGAGAAATGCCAGTTTGTGGTCATCAGACTCTATTTCCTTCGTTAGATTAATTTGTTCCGAAATGTTGTTCACATTTGTAAACAATTCTTCCAAATAGTCCTGTTTAATGATAACGAAAATGTCATCTACATACCGTAGCCAGACCTTTGGTGGACAAACACTTCTTGCGATTGCACTAGTTTCGAGTGAATGCATGAATAAATTCGCAACAATCGGAGAAACTGGTGAACCCATAGCTATACCTTCTTTTTGTCTGTATAGATCTCGAAATATGAATAAGGTGGACCTTAAACATAGTTCCAAACACTTGATAAACTCAGATGGATCTAACGGGCAACGTAAATGTAAATCCAAATCAGATTCTAAACAAGCATAAATAATATCCAACGCTCTGTTGATAGGTACGTTAGTAAATAAGGAAGAAACATCAAAACTTGCCATTACTTCTTCTATGTCGATGGTATCAATAATATTTTTAAATTCCATAGAGTTTTTAATTCCATGATTAATCAATTTCTCATACGGTTTTAGTATTCTAGCTAAGTATTTCGCTAGGTTGTAAGTCGGTGAATTTGTAAAATCGACCACTGGTCTTAGTGGAGTACTATCCTTGTGAATCTTCGGGAGTCCATAGAATCGACAAGGGTTACAACTTTTACAACAAGTAATATCTTACATTCGTTAAAGGTCAAGCTCGGAACGCCTTTATGGTTCATGCTAAATCCAAAAAGTTGTAACCCTTGTCGATTCTATGGACTCCCGAAGATTCACAAGGATAGTACTCCACTAAGACCAGTGGTCGATTTTACAAATTCACCGACTTACAACCTAGCGAAATACTTAGCTAGAATACTAAAACCGTATGAGAAATTGATTAATCATGGAATTAAAAACTCTATGGAATTTAAAAATATTATTGATACCATCGACATAGAAGAAGTAATGGCAAGTTTTGATGTTTCTTCCTTATTTACTAACGTACCTATCAACAGAGCGTTGGATATTATTTATGCTTGTTTAGAATCTGATTTGGATTTACATTTACGTTGCCCGTTAGATCCATCTGAGTTTATCAAGTGTTTGGAACTATGTTTAAGGTCCACCTTATTCATATTTCGAGATCTATACAGACAAAAAGAAGGTATAGCTATGGGTTCACCAGTTTCTCCGATTGTTGCGAATTTATTCATGCATTCACTCGAAACTAGTGCAATCGCAAGAAGTGTTTGTCCACCAAAGGTCTGGCTACGGTATGTAGATGACATTTTCGTTATCATTAAACAGGACTATTTGGAAGAATTGTTTACAAATGTGAACAACATTTCGGAACAAATTAATCTAACGAAGGAAATAGAGTCTGATGACCACAAACTGGCATTTCTCGACTGTATGGTTGAACGAAGACTTAATAATAGGAAGTTGAAAATAAATGTTTTCAAAAAATCAACACATTCAGATAGATACTTAGATTTTGATTCGGCGCATGCTTTATGTACGAAAGTCACAGTTGTTAAAAATTTAATTAACAGAAGTCTGAAGCTTGTTACAGATGAAGAAGACCAACAATTTGAATTGAATAGGATTTTAGCTACACTTAGGGATAACAACTACCCAAAAGAGTTTTTAAAGAAGATTGTTAGAAAGGAAAGAAAAGCTAAACTGCAACATGTACAGAAAGATTGGAAGTCCACTGTAGTCATACCATACCGTAGCGAAACATCGGAGGAAATCAAACGGATTTTAAACAAACATGATATAAGAGTGTATTTTAGAACATGTAACACTATAAGATCGTCATTGGTGAAGGTTAAGGATAGGTTACCAAAGGAAGAACAACAAAATATTGTCTATGAGATCAATTGTCATGATTGTAATGCGGCTTATATTGGAGAAACATCCAGACAATTGAAGGTAAGGTTGAAGGAACACAAACAGTGTTTAAAAAACGTTCCCAAAACCTCGGTTGACTTAAAGAAACTTGAGAATAAATCTGCAATAGCGTTACATGCGTTGGAAACGGGACACATGATTAATTTTGAAGGGGCCAAAATACTTCAGAAAGGTTTCAACACTCACAAAGAAAGATTGACAGCAGAAGCGCTGTATATATGGACGAATAAGAACAGCCTAAACAGAAAGGATGGTATTCAGCTAGCTACCACTTGGCAAATATTCATCAACAAGTAATTTGACCTTTTTCTTTTATTCAACCTGTTTACTTCACATGAATCGTTATTATGACTGAAATCAATATGAGTTATGTTTAACATTACAATTTATGTACTTGATGATTCTCATTTTATTTGCAACTTCGATGATTCAGAAAGGAGAAAAACTTTTCAACCTTCATTATGCACGTTTATTCCTATTTTACTTCACATAGAAACATATCAACACTGAATATCATTCATCATTAATAACTCATCTTACACATACATACATACACACAATTTATGCAGTCTCCTTTAATTCACATCGTTGAACTTTTTCACTTGATTCTCATTCAACTGACTCATATTATCCTGTTGTACAAAAACTTCGACATCCAAATATGATTGGATTAAAAAGTAGTAGAGATTTTGATATGATTGTAAAAACACTATATATTTCTTTGATGATTTTGATTATTTCCCTGAAGAAGTCCAGACAAGTTAGCTTGACGAAACGTTGGAATTATTTAAATTTCAATCGCTGAGACTATTTCAAATATAATTTTTGACATATAATGTATGCTTATTTTTGTTATAGTTAAGGTGTTCGAGAATCCATAACAATCCATATTATCATCAACATTGGTAGTTTTCAAAACACACCTGACTTGACTCTTTCAACTGATCAATCAATACCTGAGGTTTTATCTTC